GCTTTGCCGTTGGGGGTGCCGGTAAAAGCTTTTGGGCGGCCCAAACGCGGTTAACCCTTTCCCTACCATGGACGACCTGAGTTCGTCCACACTGTTAATACCGCTCCCTGCGACGACAAGCTGGGCTCGTCCATGCTTCCATGGACGAACTGGGCTATACTTAACGTTCCGCGCTTTCGGTTTCTATTTTTTTTAAACTGCGGCGTACTTTTTTCGGTGTTTATATTAAAATACAATTTTCGTTTTTTTTTGGGCGTATATTTACGCCCACAAAAGTTTATCGGCTTTTTTCGGTGAATGTAAAATAAGCACCAACGGACACAGGATCGCATGATCTTTGTACGTAGCTCTGATATTTGTGATCACTCTAATGGCACAGATCCATTAAAAAAGAAATGGACACTTTATTTGGGAAATGTGTGCAACTGTCAAAGAAACAAGAAAAAAACATAGAAGTACAAACTAGTCAGATATGAAGCCTATACCCAATAAACATGGAACTTCACCTTCTCTGCATCAGGATTACGTGATCTCATTATAGTACACACACATGTACTTTTTCAGGTTCTCCTTCTTGATTCGCACTCTTTCTTTCCTGTTAATATGACCCTGAGTTTTGACAATGACCTCTCAACGCTAACACAGGACACTGACAGGCTGAGGAGATGAAGCGCTGCCTGAGCCAACATCGGCCAATCGACCAATTGTGACCGCCGAAAGAGACGCGGTGCGACGTTTTGAAGCACAACACAACATGCAGCGCTTGCATCAAGTCATTCTTCCTTACACCGAGTTTAAAAACACGCTCGAACATGGCGAAGTCATGGGGCATTTCGGACCTCACGTTCCGATTGATGATGCGCACATTAAACCAAATTCTCGTGGTGCCATCCGTGTATCCCATACAATCGGGAACGTTTCGATAGACACTGTCGTTTCACTTTTTCGCCACGGCTCTGCTGCACGACTGGAAGGTCAAAGTGACCTTTTCCGGTTAAAACTGAATTTTAGAAAATGGATTTGACAAACTTTTATTGGTTTTTATCGGTTTAAATCGAAAATGCCGAACCTAAAAACTGACCTTTTTCGGTTAAAACAAAATTTGCGAAACTAGATTCGGCGTACTTTTATCGGTTTTATCGGTTTAAACCGAAAACTCCGAACCCTAGCTATACTCTGTTTCAACTTATGTTGTACCGCAGTGAAGTCTAGAAGCGCGAGCTCATAACGTTGCCCTTGGTGCACGGGAGCTTGTGCCGCCGAGATGCGCCCTAGAGCAAGGAGCTCGAACATGTAGCCTTTTCGGCGGTACAACACAAGGTGAAACAGAGTATTGGCGACGTGCGCGAACGAAAGCGTCGCTGTAGTCGGCCTTCCACGACAGGCCGAACGCTGACTATGACGTCAGAAAAGGATTTATCATCGACGGAAATAAGAGGAATGAAAGAACTTTAATTTTGACGGTGTTGGCAGTGTTCCTTTGAGAGCACAGTGATTTCAAGCTTCCACCACGCTCATTACAAACACCATCGAACTTGTTGTTTGCAAGGTAACGACGTCACAAGGGGGAAAAAGGAGGGCGCCACCACAACAGCTCGCCGCTAATAGGGCGCATAAAAAAATCAGTATTTTCTAATCTTTTTTGCTAGGAATAGGGTTAAGAGTCTGTCTAGCGGCCGGCCCGCACGGCGCTCGGCTGGTGATATCTGTTTTTCGGGAACACCCACCGTAGCTTGGCGCCAGCACGCAGCAGTATCACGTAGCAGGGTGCGTCGCTGTCACGTTTGCTTGTCTCGAAGGAGCACGTTTCTCAGGCACGTTTTTCGGAGCGAAAAGAACAGTTTTTTTTCTCACTATCTCTCAGGCACGAAATCGCCCTGAATTTGTGCCTGTGGTGCCGAATGTAAAAAAAGTTTCAATATTAGAGGGAAGACGTGGCCTCTACAAGGAAGTATAATCTGAATTAAAATAACTGCAAAATACGAATCTTTTTTTTTTTTTTTTTTACGTTTATATGTCTTTAACTTTAGTGTAGATTGTTTTTGCGGTTACGCTAATAAAGAATGTTCGAGGATTCGGCAACACAGGTACGTGGATTTTTAGAAGTTTCTCTTAGGTGGTTGGCACATATGCAAACACATTTATACAAACAAAACGAAATAACATATCTAAAAATATATATTTATTATATATGGCTGAAAAAGCCTAACAAATAATAGGCTCGAAAGGCCTAACCGTGCTCTATAAAACATATGCTACGTTTAAAAAAAAGCAACACAGTCAATATATGTATATATATATATATATATATCTTATCTTCCTGACGAAGGCCGGACTCCGGCCGAAACGTCGAAGATTAAATCGTCCGTTGTTGCTGTTTTTCACTAAGGGTTTTTTTCTTCTCAGTTTTATATATATATATATATATTTTTTTTTTTTTTTTTACTTGGATTTTATTTGTTGTACACGTACAGTTTACTGCGCACCTGCCACTTAGGTGTACACGTAAAATCAGATGGCAGCGTCATATATTGCAAATGAAAACCTAGATGGCGCTTCAAACGACGGGAGGCCAGAGCCGTGTATTGGGAGAGTCTGGCCAATAGGCGGAGCAAAGGCCGCCGCCAGCGCCGAATATTCCCCCCGCGCTTAGAGCATAAACTAAATTTGTGACACAGCGTCGACCAATCAGGAGACCGCGACGTCACAATATTGCAAACGACATTTAAAGCGTGAAATAGAAGCGTTCAATCTCGGCCTCTCTACTCCATCTCACAAATTTCGGCAGTGAAGACAAAAGTACAGGCGCGGGAACCTATAGCTCAGCAAAACGCTTTTGTTTGTACGTGAACTCGTGCATAGGAGCCACTTTCCAAAGCCACGCGCTCGTGCCCATGCCTTTCTCTGCAATGCTGATGTTGGCTTGTTAGAACAGCGTCCTGTAACTGGCGGAAAGAAAACAGTGCAAAGGGTGGTGCGCGCGAGCGTCTGGAGACGCGGAGTCCCGCTCGGCCATCGCTCGGCTCGTGCGCTGGCTTTGGCAGTGCTTTCTTTCACCGTCTCAGCTGAAACGCTGTTTCTAGCAAGTTGGCCCTGGTTTGGAGCGCACGTTCGTTTATTCTACACTTGAATATTGGCGTGACGAACACCTCGCACGCACAAAGTTTGCAGTCACTGAGAGTCACACCTTTTAACTTTAGCGACGCTAAAACGGCTTGAATTAGTCGTGTCACAAATTTAGAGCTCACGACCACCGCTAGGGGCTGTTTCGCGGCCCGTGGTTGGCCCCGGGACGCTCGCCTATTCAAACCAATGTTTGGCCAAACTCTCTCGATAAACGGCTCTGCGGGAGGCGAACTGAAGTGAGCGAGGGGGGGGGGGGGGGGGGGGGGGAGTACCTTTCAACGCGGGAGTTCCACAACTGATGTGGTCTAGCAACGTTGGTGGTGTTGTCACTAAATACCCTGACGTTACGCGATGTCAAGTTTTCCGATAAAATTAGCGGAGAAATTTCGCGTGACGTCGAGTCACGCGACGTCAGTTTATTTTAACGGGGAAATATCCCACGACGCACGGCGACGAAAGGTCAAGTTTCCCCGCTAAATTTAGGGAAGACATTGCGCGTGACGTGAGGCCGCGTGGCCCGACGGTGTAGACTCGTGCTGTTACGTGATATCATGAGCGTCACGTGACGTCAATTTCCCCGCTAAATTTAGTGTGGAAATGCACGGACGCACGCACAATATTCTGAGATTAGGATGCTCCGTTAAAAGGCATTACGCCTTAAAAGGGTATTTAAAAGGCTCTACTTCACTCCCTGTAAACTGTAGATTTATATGATAACTTATATTATTGTAGAAGAATACGATCAATGCATCACACTGCTCAAACACCATAAAAAAGACGCGGCGCTCGCTGCCGACAAGATGGCGGAATTACTTGCAAACATGCCTGAAGCACGTTCGAAGCCTGGGTCCTCCTGCAGACGTACCCTTCTCAAAGCGCAATGATTTCAAGCTTCCATCACAACATGCTTATTACAAACACCATCGAACGTGTTGTTCGCGACGTTAATGACGTCACGAAAGGGAACCATAGGAGGACGCCGCCAAAACGTATCGCCGCTAATAGGAAGTATTTAGTGGCTGCCATAGCTGTGTGCGCGACTGCAGAGCGCGTGCTCATAGCGAACTTCCACAGTCCTTTCGCGATGTACGTTCCACACCAGCGAGACCACCGGTCTTAGCAGCGTATTAGTGTAAGCTCGTTTTGAACATGCGCTCTAAACAACGCCCTAAAATATGGCGTCCAGTGACAGGAAGTTTTGCCGCCGCCATTTCCTCTCGTGTAAGGAAGCACGTGCAATTACGAGCCTGCTGAAGTCAGCTTCACGCGCGTGCTCCACGTTCATGCTAGCACTCATGGGGCACCACTCGGGACGCCGTGCTTGCAAACGTGTACTTGCGACTCCGGCGACCTATTGAGGACGCCATTATCGGGCAAATATGGCGGTCTAATACAGGTTCGTGCCGTGCTATGTGCCAGCTCAACGCACAACGCTGGGGCGTCAGCGAGCGAGCACTGGACTCAAAATGATTGGCCCCACTTTTTATCCTCCACGTTTTGAAGCTGCGGCGAGGTGTTGGCGTAAACGTGCTTCAAGAGGCTTGACTTTCTTTGAGCAAGCGATGAAAGGATTGTCTGCTGTCCTTCCACGGTACTGATGAACGTTGACAAACGCAAAATATCTGGTTCACGCTGTTGCGCACGTTGTGTGCAGAACAAGTTCGGAACAAGCTGATTCTACGGTTACGACAGAGTCAGCGGGACAACTGTTCCATCTTGTAAACCACCGGCAAGGTGCAGTCACGGAAGTTAAGAGAGATGAGTCGAAATCGTGAAAGGATCCGTTTTGGCCAGTTCAGTGTTTTACGCTAGGTGCCGTCTTTCTTGATGTGGTCGCGAATAGTTTGGAGTAATCCCCAATAAAATGTGCTCACCAAACAGCTCCCGAAGAACTCCCTCCGGCATACTTGTGGGAAAATCTGGTAAGAAATGTTGACCGGGGTAAGTGACGCTTCCGTGCGATGAAGTGCTTATAAAATAGGCATTTATCTTGGCAAGTCACTAAAGCAAAATTCAGGCAACTCTTAGAAGCACTTAAACGTTCTGTCAGTTGCGACATGATTTCATCAGATATATTTAGTAACTGTAATAAATGTACGCAAAGAAAAAAATTTATTTACTTTGCACTACCACCGCACATGCATGTTGCACCGTATATGCCATTAGAGGGTTTCAGTTGCTTTATTCGTTGCGAGAAAACCATGACATGAACTAAAAAATGATTTTACTGGCATTTCTCCACTGCAACTGTTTGTTAGATATTAATTCTGGACCAGGTATGCACGTTTTTTCCCCTTTCATTATCGAGCACAATTTAATTCAAAATTGTTTTCGATTACCCAGCTGCGATACCTTGTTGCACCCCAAAGTATACCTATGTATCCGGCACTTATGTACCATGTACTTATGCATCTTGCATCTTGTGGAACGACCTAACGCCAATGTTTGCTTGGGGAGCGACACACTGACCTGTAATTATAAAGCTGTGCAATTTAAATTATGTCCCGTGACACCCCGGTGTGTCACGTGACTCCATGGTGTCACGGTGACGTGCTTTATGACGTCAATGAATCACCCTGAATTTTTTTGGTGTATTATGAACTTAACAATCTTTATGGAAACAGAGAAGACATTGAATAACATGAGTCTCACCATTGAAAGTACTATCATCATAGACGGTGGACCACAAAGCGTAGGAGAAGTTTGGTGACAGCAATGACTTCATCAAGGTGACGTATCTGTGTGATAAGGCAAGATTACTTATTAAAAACAGTTGATACAGTTTATTCATAGATAATATATTTATACTGCTCTATTCATTGGAGCGCTTTATACCCGTCGATGCCTTCTGCCCTAATAGCCCGAGAGATAGCCCACCTAACATCGAGTGAAAAATCGGTGAAAAAAAGGGAGCGGGCTAAACTTAAGTGTGTAATAAAAATGTAGAAAAATTGCTATTTTTCCATATTTTTCTTCTACCAAAAATTTGCAGCGATGGGCGAGGAACCAAAGACGACTCTCCTTCCATGCCGACAATGTTCATTTATCTCCCGTCGTAGCTGAGACCATTTTCACCGATGTCACCATGGACCTGGGCACTGCAATTACTAGAAGTGGGCTATCCTTTGACGTTTTCTAAAACAACCACAACAAATATATGCCAAAAGTAGGGGTGGGCTGTCTTTCGGAGGTGGGGCATCTCCGGGATATTACGGTAGTTCAATATTCAACAGAGCTGGCGAAACTGCTGGGCTCATCTACGGAATCCAAGATCGATGAGTAGGGAAACGCATGTTCTAAGGATAAACAAAAAATAAAAAAATACAAACTCTTGATCACTGACAAAGGCCGTGGGCACAGAATGTGTTAAGTCCGAATTACCAGCCCGCAGAAGCACCTCGCGAAAATTGACTTCACGTGACTTGAGGTAACGTGACTTGTTCAACTCACGCAATTTCCCCATTAAATTTACCGGGAAAATTTGCCTCACGTGACATTAGGCCACGTGACGTTAATTTGGCCCATAAATTTAACGTGAAGTTGACACCAGGTGGCAATAATTTGGGAATAAATGTAGCGGGGAATTTGAAAGTGAAGGTTCTTCGTGACGGTTAACTTCAATTGGCTAAAAAAAAACACAAAAAGTGCTGAAAAAAAAAAAACTGCTGGAGTAGTCAGCAACAATGTTATACTTCGTCCAAGGGTGGCAGGCACGGGGTTTCAAGCCAATGGTACATCTCAAGACTTCTGTGCTGTACTGTGCGATCCATGGACGCGAATGCGGAGATTTTAAGAATATACGTGCGAACAAAATCTTTTGCGAAAATAAACCATCATGGGTTATGTGTTTGATAGTGTGGCGCACAACTTGTAAGATGGGGAATATTTTTTTTATGTGTACGTTGTCTTGTGTGACGCTCTGCATATTTAGATAATTTCTGGCAACATAGCGAAAGCTCGTGCAGCAGAAGCCAGGGATCCTGGGTTCAATCTCCAACATTGCCTGCTTCGATCTGGAATAATTGTGTTGTGTATATGTTTATACAATCTGAACGGGCAACTTGTCTCTCAGCTGTGGATGAGCAATTCAGCCAGTGCAATACAAACCGTTAGCTTGGGGTCTTTAACGTGCATCACGCAGTAGTGGCACACGTCGCACGCCGGTACGACGCTCATCCAGATCGAAACGGGCAGGGGTTAGGATTGAACCGTATAGGTCTGGATGAGCATCGTACCAGTGTGCGGTCGTGTATCACTACTGCGTGATGCACGTTAAAGACCCCAAGCTAGCGGTTGCACCTCACTGGCTTAATTTCTTATTTACGGCTTAGACAAAAGACGCCCACTGAGACTGATAGGCTTCAGGTTGTCCAAACATACGCATAATACAATGAATTACTCCTGGTAGCATGGTATTGGCCGACCATCCCTAAATCCATAGTATTTATATGGTATGTTATTCTTTGGCGCTTCTCTAGTCCCCAAACAACGCACTGCCGACTTGCCTGTCTCTGAGTTCCACGTCGATTGAGCTCAATCCTCCTCTATCCCACACAATGTCCATGGTTCCGGCGCAGGACCTGGAAAATAATGCGAGAATCAGCTGAACGTTACGTCAAACAAAACAAAACAAAAAAGTTGAAGCGTCTTTAAGACAGGTCCCTTACGATACGGTAGTCGGACTTTGGTAAAGACTATCGGATGTAAATATCGTGGACAGTTCTGAAACGACGTTTGGAAAAGAGTAGCACAATCACAGTGTACGCAACCAGGCACACCCTCTCCTGGTTTGATTAGAAGGATACCGTGTCCAACGTCTTTATAGCATCAGTTGACAAGCCCGAAGGTGGAGCGGCATTCGACAACAAGTCTTCTCTGTTGCCTGAACGCGGACAGGTACGGGCGGAGAGCGTTCCGCTCCGCCAGCGACAAAGCCTTCACGGGGAAGGAGAAGGACCTTCTTCAAACAACGTTCTTATGGCGCAAAACATTTTTTTTGCAAGTTTTATGTTTACCATAAGGTCTACCATGGAATCACTTTCCACTGCAGGCGATGTCTATCCGGCGTTTCATGAGTTCTGTCTGTTTTGTCTTGGGGCGGGCTGATATAAAGCCTCTCAATCCTGGGAATATGGCGCCATTCATTGTTGCGGACACGCTAGAGACACGTGCCGCGCGCCACCCCTGGGAAGAACATGGCATCTGAAACCTAGCTCCGTGCTGCGCTGTGCCGCCATGATCTTCCCAAGGGCTGCATGTTGCACGCGCCTCGTGCATCGACGCACCTTGCGCCACTTTGGAAACATGAAGGGGCTTTAGGGCTGATATGGGCTTATAGCGTATGGAGCGTCACAGAGCGGACATTCCGCCAAAAGCTGCCTAAAAAGCGTTTCAACTGACTTTAATCTAGTAACGTTTACTGTGTCGCTCTTCAATTGTTCGTTTTGATTGGAGGGAAGCCATGTCACTCACCGTGCTCCTCTGCCCTATTCTCTTTTTTAATAGTTGAAACTGGTATTTTTGCACTTATTGGACATTGTTCGCAAAAGTAGTAAAGTAGCGAAGTAAAGGTAAAAACTAAGGCAAGCTGATGTATAACTCTCATCACAAACTCAAAACAAGGAACGAAAAAAAAAACAGGAAAAACACAAGCCAACACACCTGTGTGGTGTGTTCATCTTTTTTTTTTTTTTTTTTTGTATCGTTCCTCGTCTTGGGTTTGTAATGCTAGAAGAGTACTTACTTGTTGAAGTCAAAGACGTTGCAGACGAATATTCGCAACCTCTTGTCGGGAGTCTGTGAAGAAATCGAGAATATGACAAGACGCGCATTATATTCAGCGAAGAAGCGCCCGTGATACGCTACAAACGTCTCCACACTCGTAGCAAATATAAAATGGCTGTGTATCTTTTTTTTTTTTTTTAGGGCCGAAGCTCCTTAGGGGCTAGCCATGTCCGTATGTCCGTCCGCCGTAGGGTGCACGTGCTCCTGCTCGTGAGCTCACGCGCTCACGTGCTCACGAGCACGTGAGCACGTGCTCCCGTGCTCGAGTAGTGGAAAAAAAAACGCATCTCCACGTGGTGAATGATGTTGATTTTGACGAAGCTCTGATGGTGCTTGTCTGCGTAGACGGTGAGCCGCAGCATGCCGAGTCTTTCGTTCGTTTTCATCCATGTCAGAAAGAGAATGCGTGGTATGGAACGTGGTTATATACGCATTTGAGCATTTGACCGCAGCGTGAAATGGATGAAAACGAACGAAAGGCTCGGCATGCTGCGGCTCAGCGTCTACGCAGACAAGCACCACCAGAGCTTCGCCCCAATCAACATCATTCACCATGTGGAGATGCGGTTTTTTTTGTTTGTTTGGTTTTAACTGGGATGAAAATACCGATGTAGCAAATGCTTCAAGCGTTTTCAAAAGCAAGAAATGTTAATTCAAATTTTTTTTTTGTATTCTCGTGTTCTTAAAAATATGTTCCTCTTCCACAAGAGATACTTGGCCACATTGAACGACAAGCACGTTGGGGTCAGTCAGAGTTTGCGAGACGCTAATTTCTGCGATCTGAACCTGCCGTTTTTGCCGCGTGTCGTGTGCTGTTCTCATGTCACCTATGTGGTTTGCTGTTCTCGTGTTCCCGTGCGGTGTGCATAGTTCACGCTCGTGCACTCGACTTAGCGAGTGCGTGCGTGGTCGTGGACTGCTCCGAGGATAGGCAAAAGAAGCCGGTGCCAAGCGTTCGCTCGTCACCGGATCTGCCGCTTGATGGCGACCGTTCGGCCAGTTCAGTGCACGCAGAAGCTCCTTTAGCAGAATATTCTTTAGCTGAAAGGATGTTCATTGAAAAGGAGCTTCAGGGCGTCGTCTGACAGGGGTGCTACGTTACTACCTTGACCGTCACTAACTGTAGTTAATAATAACCTAGTGAATGATGTGACACACAGTTACTAACTTTGAGTAAGTACTACAAACAGAGTGTGTTCCTTTCCTGTCCGGTATCTGCAAACGATCGGAAGGACCACTATCAGTGGCATGTATATAGTGGTCTTTCGCAGACGACCGTCGACGATCTCCTATAAGTGAACCACGTGGAACTGCGCACAAAGACCTTTTAAGCTATTCGGAAGTGTTTGCGAAAGACGGGCTTGGTGAACCGTCTTTGAAGATGCACCCTGAACAAGGAGCTAAATCATTTGTATCCGTTTTGAAGCCATCGCCCTAGGCTTTCCTCCGTAGCAATAGAAAGATTTAAAATACGGGGCATTCCGGGTCCCCCAAACAGCTTGCGGCATCGCACTGCGTCGCACCTGGAGTCCGAAACTCCCAAGCTTCGTTCCAGAACCGAGTCACGGTGCAGCGGTCGTGACCCCAATCATGGCGCTGCCCTATGCGGTCGAAGCGAAGCGCGTACAGTGTAGCTTTCGTTCTCGTGTGAGCTCTTCAATCCACGTTCCTGGCCTGTGGCGACACCAATTCTTTTTTTTTTTTTTTAAAGTTCTTTCATTCGTTGTGAACGGGGCATGACTTGCTCCCCCTTGCTGTTCCTTTCTCTCTCCCCCTCGTCTCGAAACACATCGAAGTCGATTGCTTAGTATCTGAGGCGAAGAGTTAGAAACGCAGCACCAACGCAACCGGAACGAGCAAACGAGCCGGCAATCTTCTTTGGCGAACCAGATTTAAGGCTACTTGATATAATATATATATATATATATATATATATATATATATATATATATTTTGAGCAAACGTGCGCAGCATCCGTTCGGTCCTAATTCATCCACCTCCAGAGCTCCCGTCTGTGCATGCCCGCCGTAGCCATGGTAACGCGGATATATTTTATATATATTTTTGTTGTCTGGGGCTGATCCACAAAATGGCTGACTGATAACTTTCGCCATGGGCTCAACCAACTATTCAGAACTGGATTCTGCGAGATTGACCTGTGGTAGGCATGCGTACCCAATGGAACTTGGTACTCTGGGAACATTCAGTGACTCTAGTCTCATCCATACACTAAAACTCTCTAATAACTGGAGCCCCAGCTAAATTCCCAACCTAGTTCTTCCAACCAGCCTCGACTTTCCCGTCCCTAGCCGGGTTGTGACTTGCCCCGTATATAGAGGAAGCGCACATATCTCCCGGCTATCGCCCTTTTTCCTGGACATCACTGTACAAACTAACAAAGTAAATAACCTGGACAGAAGCAATGATCCTTTTACGACAAGCGCTCTGCGAATATCTGTCCTCTCCCTCCATCTTGCGACGAAGGCCGAAATGTGCTTTGGAGGAAATCAAAGAAACATGCAAAGTAGCTGCAGCGAAGCTTGCTATATTTGGCCGTCGTTTAGTTCGCAAATGTCTTGTTAAATAAGCCCGATGCATTATTACAAGCTTTTTGTGGGAATCCAGACTCTGCATTACAAAACGACGTATTACACGTGACGGTTCATGGCAAACTCGAATGCTAGATGATGAAAGACGACAGTTTTGTCGTCTGCTATTATCCAAAATTCTATACATAAGAGCAACCTCTTATGATAACCGTCGTCCTTATTATCACCATAGTCTTCATCCTTATCACTATGACTTCCGTCGCTCGCTGCTCGCTGTATAGAATTAGGCTAGGTGGCGCAAGCAACGGCCCAATACGAAGGGTATAGCCATTAACATCCATCATCCATCCATCCATCCATCCTTCCTTTTCCAACGGCAATATTCTTGATTTCTGTGCGATGGGGCATACTCGCCTTGGCTTTATTAACAAGTTTAGTATTAACTCTGACAGAGACATGGCCGCCACCATGTCTTTGATCGCGCAGGCAAGCCCGTGCAATTACAAGCCTGCCCAAGCTATATTCACGGGCAATTTGCATACGCGTGCACGCATGGGGCACCATGCATAGTGCCACTAAATAAGCTACGCTTCAGAGTAACGACACTGGCCCATATTGTGGCTTAAAATCATGGTTGCCAGTTATCTGAAGCCTTATCTGAAACCGCAAGAAACGCTTTTCTGTCCTCCACAAATGTTTAAACAGTTCGCGATAAAGCAAACCAATTTTACGTGAGCTTCCTGACTCCGAATCTAATGCTGAGGAAGTCGCACTTTTGAATCAAGACGATCGGCAGTTGCGTTTGCTCTGCACAATCACCAAAATGGCGGCACCCACAACAATGTCTGGGAACAGAGTGCCGATGCTCTGAGCGCAGCTCATTTATTGGCGCTAGGGCACCAGTCAGGGTGCCAGGTTTACATGTGTCAATACTACATTCAAGTTCGTCTGCTACTCGGACACCTCGTGCGTTCGGTTACCCCTCAAATGTGGCCACGTACGTTTGCTTCCCTCCTACCTCAACCAACGACAAGGCGAGCTTGGGGGCTCGTCATTGTACATTCTCTACGCCTTTTCTATGTTGCCCGTTGATTGTCCTGCCCCCCGTTTGAATTCCGATGCACCAAAGACGCACTTTAGAACACTAGCTCGCTGTATAGACGATTGCAAGCCAGGCGACCGGCCGCCGCCATGTCTCTGGTCGTGCAAGGAAGCCCATGCAATTGCACTCTTTTCAAAGCTATGTTAACTCGCAAGCTGCACGTCCTTGTACGCATAGGGCACGAGCCGGGCGCCACTTATATACTTGAGATAAATTACACACTGTATAGGTGGCGCAAGTCGCCGTCCCTTTGAAGATGTTGTCCATCCACCAATATAGCTGTCCGGAAAATGACTTATTTGATCGTACCTGGCATGCTTGTAAAGGTACACTGCGTTATTGAATTGTCCATACGGTCAATACCCCTACCTGAAATATCTTGCACTTGAGTACAGGGCACTCGGCTTCATCGAAAGGAAGGCTGTTGTCGACGAAAAAGCTCCGGGCAACCGCCTCGATGAACTCCACGCCAACGACGCGATGTCCCTTGTCGTAGAACCTGATGACGACGGATGGTGCATTACATCCAAGTATCCTTTCTTGATTTTCACGCGTAGGTTTGCATGTTCACGAATTACAATGAAGTTGAAATAGTGTACAGTTTTATTTGAATCGAGAGAGATGTTAGCACTGCACTTTTGTTTTGGCGTCACGAATGGCGCCAAGCCGATATATGGTGTCTTGTTTTAACCCATCTAGTTGTTAGAGCAGAACTACAGAAAAAACTCCACTCCTACAATAAACGTATAAAAAAAAGTTGACATTATAATCACCATTCTTTCGACGTCATAAAAGGGCAGAAGCATTCGTCAGCGCCCTCTATCAACATTAACACTAAAATAAAAAGAAAACATTGCATAATGCTTAGCGCACATCGGCACGCTGGGCATATCGTCCTGCATCTTTGTCCCCTACAGATGTGGGCTTGGTGACCTAGCAATAGCACCCAGATGACAAGGCTTACGCGTCACTTCCTCGTTAGTGGCCCTATAGTTAGTGGATACTTGGCTTGCCCCGTGTCTAGTACTCTTCTGTGCACGGACGTTTTGGTGCGGACTTTCCAGTGCACGGACGTTTCGGTGCACAGACTTTTCGATGCACGGACTTCTCGATGTGGGACTTTTCGGTGCGTGGACATTTCCGTCCCTGGACTTTTCTGTGCACGTGCATTTCGGTGCACGGCCAATTAAAATCGCGACATTTTCTTTCTAGACATAATGAGCACTATATTAGCAAGAAATTAATTTTCTTGCAACTTGATAGATTTGTAGACTTGGTCATCCATTTACGGTCACTTATCACGTACGACCTAAGTGACTTTGTTAGGCGTAGCACCATCCTGAGTGAGGAATGGAGACGTTGGACGTTATGGTTCTTTTGAAGGTGTTTCTTTTCCAACGCACGCACTAGACGCAACACATCGTGTTCACGCGTTGGGTCGATAGAGGCGTTTTCGGCGTCTTCTGTAAGGGTATGGGCTTTATAATTGATATACCGTTTAGGAATGGCCCCAATATCAACGAGCCTGAGAATGTTGAAAATTACCCGACATTGTAGTAAAAGATGGAAACCTTCGTGGAAGTTTAAAACGTTCTTCCTCATGTGTCCTTCTTTTCTGCGAACTTTTCCCATTTTTTACCACAGCCTCGGGTGATTTTCTGCATGATCAACATTCACCATGTCGCCTGAACACTCACCATGATTTGTTAAGCTTGAGAAATTGTTTTTTGTACGATAGCCCAGAACAATTTAGAGTGTCTTCCAATGTGCGTCCACCGCGAAATCGTATAGCATCGATTGTTTGGCACACCTGACTGGAGAAACCAAAGTTCTCCCCATCCGTCACGCGTCACACGTTTTGTAATATAAATCGAGACATAAAACACATCGTTAACAGTTGTTACTGAGTATATTTTTAACAGACTTTGAATATAAGGTATTTGAAGCACTGAAAAAAAGTAAATATGTAAAAAACAAAAGTTTCTCTGGACAGTTTAGGCACCATCTCTTATCTGTTGTGGAAAACGTCCAGAAGTGCATTCACGCGGTACATAAAGCTGCAGGCCCTCGATATAAAGCTGTTCGATGCAAAGCCGCAGCACAGATAGTTTGGGCAAAATGTTCCAGATCGGCCTACTAAAACTCAGAGGCAACAACGACTGCAACTGATGGCTCAGCTGAAGAGACAACAACAAAAAAATTAAACAGTCGCGCTTACAAAGGCATGGATAATTAGGGGGTCGCAAGCGGTAAGACTATTGACAAGCCCCCCCCCACCCTTACCCTTTTTTAAACTGACAAATACGTTGTCCTTGATAGGCGTGGTCGTTACAAAACCCGAACCACTTCTTTTCCAGGTAATTAGGAAGCCCTTCACAATCACAGCAATGATTTTAACATCCTTTGCAAACTCGCGAAAAACCTCTTGCGCTCGTCATGCACGCGGTCATCGAAATTGTCGTTTCTGGTCCGTAGCACAGGAAACAAGCTATCTGACCCTCAGTGAGAGGGAAACGCCCGCTTTCCTCATAAATGGGGGGGGGGGGGGGGGGGGGACCGGGCTGACTCGGCCTAAGAGCCGCATACAAAATCACTAAACTTCCAAGAGCCGCATGAAAAACAAAAGGCAGAACGGGAAGGGGAGGGGGGGAGGGGGTTCAAAAGTTTTTCTAAAGCAAAAAATTAAACTTGAACTATTACAGATCTGCAGCCTGCCCGAGTCAAAAGCAGTCCAACTGTACGTAAAGTATCGGTAGCACAAAACTAGCAAACCGCATCCTCTCTTTCAATTTAAAACGCGTTCCTTTTTTCTTTTTGGGGAAGTGCTCGTGTAACCTGGAGGAAGGTGCGGAAGGAGAGGCGGGGGGGGGGGGGGGGCATGTGAGTTTTTTTTAAGGAGCCGCGAGCAAACATTTAACACGCATAAGGCGCATGCGGCGCGAGAGCTGCAGCTTGTGCACCCGTGGCATAAATGGTCTGCAAAAAAATGAAAGACGTTTAAAATCTCTGTAATGTCGAAGTAAAGCGCAGCTCTTGAGGAGGAGGAGGAGAGGGGAAGGTATGCCCAGGCGACGTCACTCGTGACCCTCGTGACCCTCGTAATATCACACGTGACGTCATGTGACGTCATTAAGGAAAACGTACCATAATGAAACGCGCGGTTACGCCGACGGCGACGCCGCTCAACCCCGAAACGGGCGCCTAAGAGGTGCGCTCTAAAAGTTTCAAGTTTCTTTATTCTTCTTCAAACAAGAAGAGAAGGAGGAGGGAAAAAAGCAGTGCAAAACTGCTTGACAATGCCCCCTCGATCCTCCCCAATAGCAACAGCAGAAGCAGAAGTAGTAGCTGGAAGATGTCGGTGCCGTCTTTCTGCTGTTTCTTCCAGCACTTTGAAAATAAACCCCTCCTGGCCTGCTAATCCAGCGAGGAAAAAAACAACACTAATAGTCATTTTTGAAGGTAAAGCTTTGGCAGTTCTATGCCTGATTAGGAGGTGACATAGAAGTAAATAAACTCCAGCCAAAATTTAATACGCAAGTCATTTTTGCAGACTCATACCCAGTTTGGCGCCTCTTGTGGGGCCCATTTCCGCTCTGATGAATAACCTCGCACGATGAAGAAAAGCAGTTAATCACTCGCAGCTCATTGAAGAATATTGTAGGAATGTGCGAGTGCACAGCATTTGCAATCAAATCAAATGCCGACTTATATTAGTTTCGTTGGGAAAAAAAAACTTTTAGAAACGAACTTCCAGCCGCGTGAGACGCCAGAAAGAGCAAAACAATATAAACATCTGCTATTTTATTAATTAACATGTTTGAATTGAATTTTTATTTTGCGACTTTTAGGTCCATGTTCCAATTAATATTTTGAAGGCTACACCCATGCAAAGCTAAAAAAACATTTACGAAAGGCAAAAAGAAGCAACCGGCTTGGAGATATTCACCGACGAATTTTGCACTGTATATAGGTATGATTTCCGAAATGTGATATAACTGCACGCAACTGCCTAATCAAAGCCTTTACAAAGCAACGTTGTAAAGGCTTTGATTATATATATATATATATATATATATATATTCTTCTTTTTCTTAATGACTCTGTCGTTAGCAATTTATTAACACTTTCACTGAAACACCCGGTATTCAAAACATAAGGGCATTTGCTTGCGAAAGAAATAAACCGTGGTGCATACGCCTTGCGTGTTTTTTTTTTTTTTTCTTTTTCGGCCTATAAAGATGGCTTGTGACAATTCAAATTGAGTTTATGATGGGGCAGGCGTGTTATCACGGGATATTCCGTGATGTTTTACGTTTGTTTTCACTGGTCAGTACAAAAATTGCACGCGGAATGTTTCACCTTGCAGACAGCTAGTTCGGCTGTTTCTCAAGGAGCTGTAAAACGTTTCCATTTACATTTCGGGTTTTAATACACCACTTCAAAAATATGAAAATTAATTAAATGTTTCAGTTAGGCTTAATAGAGATACTGCAACTCTTGCAACACGCTGTTGCAATAAAATAAGGCGCTCCACTTTTGAAAAAAAAAAAAAAATCAGGGCGTGTTATTTGGGATATTGGGTATTTACGTTTAACGTAAATACCGATTATCCCAAGTGAAATTTATTATGAGGAAACTCACGGCACCCTGTAGAGCGATGGAATAATACACAACAAGCATATGATGATATAAGAGGTATGATAAGTGTTCGCTGCCTCGCAAAGCCGACGCATTTCGGACTTCTTGTCTTCCTCCCCAAATGCAACCCGTTGGTATCTATGCTATTTTTACGTCGTGCTTCTTGAAATTTGGAAAAACATATACTTACTTATACTCATACTTACACCGAAACTTCCGTGCACTGAAAAGTCCCTGCGTCGAAACGTCCTTACGTTGAAATGTTAACACCCAAAAGTTCTTGCAGCGAAAAGACTGCAGTAAAACGCCTTACACCGAAATGTCCAAATCCCGGGTTGGGAGGGGGTGCAGTTTTTGTTTTATCTGATGTATTGCCCATAAACATTCGCAAGTACGCCAACTGAATATCGCCATGTTGCCTCTTGCGTTTGCAGATCGTCTGATAGTCAACGTTAGAAAATGACCTCAGTTGTGGAACTCCCGCGGAGGAAGGCACCCCACACCCTCCCTCCTCCTAACTCCATTGAGTCCGTGTCCCTTCGTTCGAATTCGCACCATCTAGATTTTCAATTCAAAACTGCGTCTTCTATAGAGTACGGTTAAACGCCATCTAGACGCTGCGCTTTGAATCACACGTATTTCACAATATATATTGCAGTTACCGTAGCAGCCATCCGCTTAAAAATGTGGCGCCTTCGAACGATGGGAGGCGGGCCGTGGGGGGAGAGGGAGTATACTGTTCGGCAAAGCAGCGTCTATGGCCAGTTTCGTAAATGAAGTAATTTAATAACGTGCTGATAGTAAAGTCTCGCTAAGGGGTGTCCAAAGTTGCCAGACTGACGCCCAAACAAAGCATGCATTTTTATTCACAGACGCCAGGCTACAGCTTTCGAAGCGCGGCCGCCTGCAACTGCCTGTCTGTGGGGGCCTAAGGAAATCCTATAGCCCGGGTCACACTGCGTATCCATCATAGAAAAACCGTCTGCATACAGATTCGAATGCGAGACACCGCGAGATCCGTGTTTCGAATGCCGTATGGCAATCAGTTTACAAAGAAAACTTGGCACGCGGCATTCGAACTACGGATATTTCGGTGACTTATTTCTGCAGAGTGTCTTTTGTATGGTGTATAAGCAGTGTTAAAGCCGGGGTCACACTGCTTATACACCGTACAAAACCAGCCTTGTACGTGTCTCTGAAAAAAGTAACCGATTACAATGCAAGTAATTAAGAAATGTAACTAATTAAAATAATGAATTGCTGCATCACAAAAGTAATTGAAAAATTGCCGGAAAGTAATTGATTACTTTTCACGTTACTTTGTAAACCTTTTTTTTATTACGAAATTAAACATGCATACATAGGTTGAAAGTGGTTACATTGTGTTGAGGTCAAAGCGAGTCTAGGTATTTTTCATTCATGACGCGTCGTTTTTCCGAAATCATTACACTCTACCGAAGTCTAGTGAAGGTTTCCTATTTTATAACTCCAGAAAGAGCACGTGCCCTTCTTCGCGTGCGCAATGAGAACCAAATAAGATACTGCTAACATAATTCGTTATTTCCTTCAGTAATATAAACATAAAAAGAGAGAGAGAGACAGAGAGATAGAAGGATGAGTAAACAGCCACATGCTGGACTAGTAGAAACATTAATCAACTAAAGAATTGTCAGTAAGGTAACCTTGTGTTCCTAGTACGTTCTATACAAGCACGCGCTGGTGAACTCTTCTGAAATAGAATGAAAGGGGAGGGGGGTAAAGGGGGGGGGGGGGAGGGGGTCGTTGCCGTAGTTAGATAACGTGAGTGCAGAGCACAGTCGTCTATGCCACGGCAAACCCAGACCGTAACAACCCGTACACAGGAAACGAGGCACTATAATTTTGTTTTGGTTGTTGTTGTTTAGGAATAAACATAGACGAGTGACGCACGGGCAGACAAGCGATTGTTTACGTACAAAAACTCAACTCTATCATTTTAGCTCTTCCGTAAGCGTATTTTATCTCTTTCGTAAACGTATAATTGATTACTCGTAATTGATAAGAGACAAAAAGAAGTAATTGAATTAACGTGAATGTTACGTCAACAAAGAAAAGTAATTGAAGCGTTAAAAAGTCACAATAAAGTAAAATAATAATCAGTTTCTTGTGACTAGTTATGTACAAGTATGCAGAAAATACAGTCTGCAAAAATATTGGAACGCAACTCATCACCAGAGCCGTGCTTCGAATGCCGTATGGCAACGAGTTCAAAGAGCAAACTTGGCATGCTTCATTGGAACCACAGACATTGCGGCGACTCGTGTTGACAGACTGTCTTCTGTAGGATGTATAAACAGTGGGATTCCGGCTTAAATCCGCAACCCCAACGGTACATTTTATACAAAGACAGCCTGCATACAGTGTTTGAGGCGTGTTTCTTCCTCGCATGAACGTCCCCTCAGTCATAAAAAAAACTGTTTTCAGGCGCCTCCCAAGCATTCATACGTATGAGGCAAACGAGCTTCGAACATGGTTGAGGCACGGTTTTTTTCTGTGCCCGCCGTATGAGCTCATCTCCCTGAGGAAACGGCTTCGACTGCTGCAGAAAATGATACCATAATCGCCCTTACCATTTCAAATCGGCCGCCTTTCCACACATCGGGACGTAGACCTGGGCATCCTGTTTTTCCGCCAAAATGACGTCCTGGTTCTTCTCTAGAAGTCTGCGTGAAACGAGAGACAACGAATGTTACGATTCTGTTCTGGATGACACGGCTAAAAGCTGGTATGCACGCCAGCCAGCCAGCAAGTGATGTTTCGTGGCAGGATAAGACTCCTGTTTTAACGCGTAGTTTTAGGTCCCTCTTCGGAATGATTGTAGTTCTACACTGTTCACACAACGTCATCGTCTTGTTTTCTGCGCTCTTACGGATAGACTCCGTCACGTTGCCACGGCGTGTCCCCGTTGTTCCAACGGTTGGTCCAGTACTCGAACTGCTTCATGCCGAACTCGCCTTCCGTCCCCGCCATGCTAGCGTTCTAGAAAAAAACAAAAACAATTGGAGAATAAAATTAGTCGTTGGGGGGTTAGAGCTACGTGAAGCAGAATTCAATTAAATTACTTCATTACTTGAAATAAAGTAATTACCTGTTATTTGAAAAAAAGTAACCGTTACTTTTTTTTATTACTTTAGACTTTAAAAGGGAATTGTTTTTGGCAGCGGCAGCAGCGTGTCGACGCAGGCTAAACATTTCAACCGCAAACTTGCAGGCGCTGACGGGGAGATTTCAACTGGAAAGACGTACGATCGGGAACGCTGCCAATTGTCACCAGCAAGGAAATCGGCCGCAAGCAGCAACAGCCCTCGTCATAAGCACGTGCCGAAATCGTCACCGATACCAGCGACGCCCATTTACTACAAGAGGACAGGCACGACATCGCCGGACCATTTGGCAGCGGCAGCAGCGTGTCGACGCAGGCTAAACATTTCAACCGCAAACTTGCAGGTTAGTTTTTAACACCATTAGTAACCACTCTTGATTTTACAACGCTGCTGCTGCTGCCTTCACTTGTGTTTATGCCCATGTTTATTTGTATGCGACTTGTTTAAGCACGAGCGGTAATGAAAGTGATGTTTGCCCACGGTGTAACAACAATTGTAGCGATGGGAAAGCCTTGTCTTGTGGGGCGTGTGACTACTTCTACCATTTTGGCGATTGCTCAGGAGTCGCGGAATCTACTTTCAAGACGAAAGGAGAGTCATGGAGGAAGGCGTGGAACTGTCCGACATGCAGGGCAGTGAAGGCAAGGGGTAGCCAGAGTGGTAGATCGAAGAAAGAGTCAGATGATAACGTTGCAAGCATACTTGTAGGTATCAACGAAAAACTAGAAAAGCTACTGACGCTCAAGAACACTGTAGAAGGTATTGAGCAATCTGTACAATTAATGTCGAACCAATACGACGAACTTTTCGTCCACGTGCGTCATCAGGACAAGGAGATAAGCCAAATAAAAAAAAAAGAGTTGATGCTCTTGAAAGGCGAGAACAATCCGGTGGGGCCCACCAGCTTATGCAGGACGTTAATGAGCTTGAATGGCAGAGCAGAAAATTAAATCTCGAGTTTCATGGAATTCCCGTATCTGAAAATGAAGATCTTCTCTCGAAGGTCAATGACGTGGCCTCAAAAATAAATGTTCCGGAACTTAGCGTGACTGACGTTGTTTCGATACACAGGCTGCCTGCAGCCAGAGATAAGGTGCCGGGTATCATTGTTCGTTTTGCAAGGCAATCAGTGAAAGATGCATTTCTTGCAAAGAAAAGTGAACTGAACAGGTTGAAGATTTATTGCTTTATTCTGGAAAATTTAACAAAGCGAAACAAAGTTCTACTCACGGCAACCAAGGACTGGGCTCGAAATCATGATTACAAATATGTCTGGCACAAGAATGGAAGGATATACATTCGACAGAAAGACGGAGAAAGAGCCATCATTGTGCGAAGTGAAAGTGACCTGGATGAGATTGTGTAAATTCTGCTGACACCTGTCAGTATATTAGTTAAACCCCGATCATGGCAACTCCGGTTTACATTGTGCCATCAGATTTTGAGAGTGTATGTGGAAGAGAATATGCTGAATCATTAAAATTCTTTCACATAAATACACAATCCGTGAAAAACAAGATAACCGAGCTTGAAGGGCTTTTTAGTGAATTCAAGTTGTCGTTCGACGTGATTATGTTAACCGAGACTTAGTATGTCGAAGATAATCATATGTTTAATCTACCGTTATACAACAATTTTGTTCTAAATCGAACCTCCGGTCGGGGCGGTGGTGTGTCTTTGATGGTAAAACAGAATTTTTCATGCGAAATACTGTCTAATTACTCGTGTGTAAACCAAGATTATGAAATTCTGTCTTTGCGCATAAATCGAAATGTGGTAGCCGTTGCGTATCGGCCTCCACAAGGGAAACTTCAAACCTTTTTTGATTTTCTTGAGTCAATTTTGAGTTTTGCAAATGAAAATAAATACAACTTGATTATGGGCGGCGATTTTAATATTAACATGCTTGCAGACACCCCTGCGAAAAGAAACCTGGAACAGCTTTTACAACAATTTGGATGTGTGAACGTGATCCCCTCACCTACCCGAATTACTCCTACATGTTCTACATTACTTGATTTGTTTATAACTAACCTACACACGTCTCATTTTTTGGCAGGAGTAATAAGTACAGACATAAGCGACCACCATGGTATCTATTTTTGTTTAAGAAAAAACACGTTGAACGGGAAAGGAGCTGAGTCAGTATATTTTCAAGGTATTTCATTGAACAACTTAAACACCTTCAGGCAAAAAGTGCTCTCCCTTGGTTGGAGTGACATATTTCAAGAAACAGACGCAGATCGTGCCTATAAGATATTTTTAGCTAAGTTTCAAAAACTGTATAGTGAATGCTTTCCCTATAGGCTTCTCCGGTTGTCAAAAAAAATCCGGAAACCTTGGATCACCCCAGAGTTGCTGGACAAAATTCAAGTGAAATATAGATTATATGAAAAGTTCTTGAAAACGCGTGATCGTGATTTCCTCAAAACGTTCAAACAATATCGCAACAAGCTAACAAAAGAGATTAGAAGTGCAAACGCAAACTATTTTGGCGACATTTTCTCCAAGTGCGCAAATAAGGCGGATGCAACGTGGAGAAAATTGAACACAGTACTGAATCGCTCGTGTAAACCAAAACCAATCGCGAAAATTTGTCTGAACAATCAAGAATTGAGGGGAAGCTGCTTAGCTAATGAATTTAATAACTTCTTTGTCAACCTCGATAGAGGCAATTTTGACAGTGATGCTTTAAATTATATGTCAGGACCAAATAATAAGTCTTTTTTCCTAAGCCCTGTAATAGAAACTGAAGTGACATCTGTATTTCTAGGATTAAATAACAGTGGAAGCTGCGATGCAGATGGTATCAAAATTAAGCTCGTAAAGTATGTTTTAGATTTAATATCGCCATATCTAGCTTATATTTTTAACCTTTGCCTACTTGAAGGCGTATTTCCTAAAAAAATGCAAATAGCAAGAGTGACCGTCTTGTATAAAAAGGGAACAAAAACGATATGGGGAACTATCGGCCTATATCAATATTGCCTGTTTTTTCGAAGGGACCAGAAAAGATTATTTTATCTAGAATGTCTAATTTCTGCGATAAGCATTCTATACTGAATGACGCGCAATTCGGGTTCAGAAAACATCGGTCAACAGAACTCGCCCTTTTAGAACAAAAAGAATTCATCCTAAATTGTTTTGAAAACAAAACATTATCACTTGCAATTTTTGTCGATTTTACAAAAGCCTTCGATTATTTGAATCATGATTTACTATTAAAAAAGCTGGAAATTTATGGTTTTCGTGGAAACGGTTTAGCGCTGTTAACATCGTATCTAGGGAGTCGAAAGCAATTTGTACAACTTGATGGTCACTCCTCCGATATAAAACCAATTTTATCAGGTGTACCGCAAGGGAGTATCCTGGGTCCGTTTTTATTTAACATATACTTGAACGATATAGTAAACATCGATAACGTCGCAAAATTTGTTATTTTTGCAGATGATACTACATTGTTGTTTTCCGAAAAAAGTCCCTCTGAACTAATTTCCCGAGCAAATGCTACCCTTGTAAAATTGGAAAGATGGACTCTGAGTAACGGGCTAAAAATAAATACAAGTAAAACTAAAGCTGTCCTATTTCGCCCAAAAAAACAAAAATATACGCGTTTATGAAGATATTAATTTGTTTGATTCAAAAATAGAATTAGTCAGCGCCTTCAAAACCCTTGGAGTAGTTTTTACGGAACGCATGACTTGGGAAGAACATACAAATTACGTCGTATCAAAATTATCGAGTATCATAGGTTTAACTTATATTCATCGCCAAATTTTACCTACTAGAGTGAAACTTCTCGTACATAACACATCATTTTATTCGCATATAAATTATTGTCATCTAGTATGGGGAAACACGACCCTCCAAAATTTGCAGAAGGTTTATTTACTGCAGAAGAAAATGCTAAGAAATATCGATAACGTTCCGTATGATCACCCTTCTGCACCGCTTTTTGAAAAATATGGCATAATGAACATTCATAATATGTATGCATTTCGTTTAAGTATAACCTATAAACAGGAAGCAAAAAACAACATGAATTTTCTTACTCAGTTAGCTTGTTTATGTAAAAAAAACAATCACATATCTCACACGTAGCATCGACATATGGAACATTTATGCGTGTAAAACGAGTTATGGAGAACAAATGATGCAACGCAAACTCCCAGAATTGCTTAATTTCTGTAATAATTGCGACATACAACTAGAATCTACATCAAAAAAAGATCTGAAGTTTTTCTTTTCTAACACGAGTGTGAAGTTGTGAGTATCGCAATGTTATGGTTGTGAAATGTTTAAAGAGAATCTCATAAAAAAAAAAAAAAGCTTGTTGTTATGATTTATACAAAGTGTTTCTGCGCGATGTGCTGTACTGGCTGCTTCATTTTTATTTTCTACATTGTATAATTTCTGGGGAGGAGGGAGCTCGTCAAGCGGATTCATTCAGCTTTTTTTCCCCAACCTCCCACATCGCCCGGATGAAAAATAAAGGCATTATTATTATTATTATTATTTTCTGTCAGTTTTTGCACGGTTCATTATTGAGTTAGAATCATCGGATCATAAACTTAATCAACCACTTTAAGTAAACCATCCTAATGACGGAGCCTTGGTACGAGTATTCCTTGGTAAGGAACTTGAGGAAACAAAAGGCGCCATTTGCAAGGGGAGGAGGCAGGTGAACAGCTTCTTTTGTTGGACTTAGGTGCAAGAGATAAGTCACAATGGTCACGAAAGCGATGTTTTGTTAGTTCCATCTAGATTACAGGTAGTCTCGTACGCGTTCTAGAAAAAAGTAACCGATTACAATTACAATTATTTATTTAAAAATGTAACTGGTTACAGTAATCAATTATTTCACCAGAGAAGTAATTTAAACATCACTACTAAATAATTTTAGCTCTTTCGGAAACATACAATTGATTACTTGTAATTGATTACAGAAAAACAGTAATTGAATTACAGTTAACGCTACCACAGAAAAAAGTAATTCAAGCATCAAAAAGTTAGAATAAATTGTAATTGATCACAAGCAATCAGTTACTTGTATTGTAACTTGTGACGTACAAATGCGTGTACAGTAGCTAAATGAAGAAAATAGGGTACAGCTTCGTTGTTCAAAGGAACATTCGCCATCGCTTGTGCGTGGCCCCTATGGAACTTTACATAGAAACAATTTCAAACATTGCATATTGAAAACGATGCATTCATGATAGATGCCAACCATTTATTTTGAATGTGACGAAGCGAACACGTTTCTTTTTTGTCGCATCTTAACTTGACAATATATTTGGTTTCAGTTATCTTGGTGATACTAGATTCTAGAGTTGCCTTAAATCGGGTTTAGCTGTTGTTTTAAGAGGAAGAGATGAAATGTTTCAGGGATTAATAAAGACGCAGATACTACAAATTCATCCAACTTTGCACTTAGATGCTTTTGTATAGAACTCAGCCTTCTGTTTCAGCTGGAAACGTAACAAACCGCAATGTGAACTGTTCAGACAGTCTACCTTCTTTTGTGCAGCTCCGTAACATTCGTGTTATTTTTTTCCTGTTTGCAAGATTTAGAAGCCGTAGTCAAACTCAGAAACCGAGGGTGGGGGATGTAAAATAGTAACGGCAGTCACGAATAATTGTATTACTATCAAAGGAAGGAGACTTCACTTATGATTACTACCTAATATAAGTAATCAGATGATTACAGAACTACTCAAAAAAGTCATCACAATATTCTTATTACTACCTAATAAAAGTAATCGGGTGATCACAAAATTAATCACAAAAGAAACCAAGTGATTACAGAATTTCCCCAAAAATAAGTATGTGGTCACAACATTTCTTTAAAAAAGTAGATTAGTCTTAAAATTACTACCAAATAAAATAAATAAGATGATTACAAAGCTACATCAAAACGTAGTAAGATTCATCTCGTGTTGACTACCCAATAACTGTCAGCAGGTGTTTCCATTACTCAAAAAAGTTATCAGATTAATCTTACGCATGTCATTAATAAATGTACCCAGCTTATTACAAAATTACTCCTAAAAGTAATTCATTACAGGCACTTTTATCACCTGTAATGACTACTGCACAAGTCTGTTCAAATAATTTCCATTAGTTAAGGGAAAGCGCCTACCCTGGATTGGCTACACGAGCCAGCTGCTTCCTGCCTCGCAACCAGAACAGTTCCAGTGGGTTTGAACGAGGAGCTGCACAGACTGTGATGTGTTCATGCAGTCAAACTTCTACCTTCCTGGAGTCCCACACCACCTGCGCTCCCTCCACCCTTCCTGCCGGCTTCCGCCCTCACCCCCCCCCCCTCCCTTTCCGCCCTCACCCCCCCCCCTCCCCCCTCCTCGCTTTTACTTTCCATTCATGTATCCTTCACTTTCTTTTACAGCGAATCTTTATATCACTCGTTGGTCCCTTTTTTTTCTTGTTCGTGACAGAGCAGTAGTCGAGTGAATAGTTGACAGAAAGCCATCGCGCGCCCCCCCCTTATCATGTATGATGTGATTTTGACACTTGTTTCAATGAGAAAACCACAAAATAAATTTCAGAACCACATATTAGATTTTAAGGCGCGTGCGAACGATGCGAAGCACGTAGCGCTCCCCGCATCCGTTTCGCGGTAAAGATTGCGGTTGCATAAGCTGCCGCGCCAACGGCAGCCGTACGAAGTATTTCCTATATAAAAAAAGAAAAAAGAAAACGTTTTGGTACTGTGCATTGACTTTTCTTTCGTCAATCAAAGCCCATTTTGTACTTAAAACAAACGATCAATAAACAATTATCTGTGCGCGGTACTTTGTTAAAATCTAGACGTAAAACTATTAGGTCACATGTCAAGGGGTCAAAAATGTGCAACATGGTGGCGGCCAGGTGCAAGTCACATTCAGCTGCCAGTTTATCGCACTAAGCCCCTCTGCCTCATTGTTTTACGGCAAAACTCGCGCAGCTTTGCAATGGCTCCGCGAGATGCCGTCAGCCGCGGTGCTGTATTTCGGGTTTTTATCGGAGCTAGACACTGATCTCTGGGGCTAACAGTATTGAAAGAATATAGTTTATAATGTTTTTTTACGGCGATCGCAACACAAATCTCGGCTCAGTATTGCGTAAAATGCTCAGGATTTGGTACGGTGACGTGTCTAGTGGTCAAAATTGTGCAACATGGCGGCAGCCAAGGGGGGGGGGGGGGGGAAGGGGTGGGCGGGTCACTTTCGCCTGGTGAACGGGATACCAGTTTAACGCTCTAAGTCCGTCTAGCTCGTTGGTCCCAGCCCTCGTGCAACTCACCCTCAACGTGCCGGCTCAAAGAACCAAAGTTCCATACGTGCGCGCTTCCACCGCAACAGCTTCGCACGCGAAGGCGCGCCGCGGCTGCTGAATGCGTCTCACTGTCGAACGCCAGCTCCTCCTCTAGTGGCGCAACACGCGTTTTTTGAGCGTATATTCCACTCGCTCATCTGGCTCAAGTGGGTCACCTTCCGCTATTAGGTTTGTGACAGCGCAAGCTCCGTGGAGCGCCTCCGACTGCGCCGCCACCGCTCCGTCAACTTCGGGGAATACCCCGGAAGTCGTCGGCAGCGCGTCACTGCGCACGCAGGTCGCGGGCCGGGCATGACCGGTTTGGTCCGATCGGTCTGTTGTTTACGTGAGTGGTGTTACCGGGTGGTGACGCTGTGAGGGGCAGTGCGTGGGGTGTGTGCATCGGGTCTCGTATTCTGCTACCTAGCATGATTCAGGGGGCGCAGGGGCGGGACTGGAGAGTGGCAAATGGTAAGCGCGGATTTCTGCGATCGCGAGAGGAAGAACGGGAAAGAGCACAACAGAAAATCCAAAGAAGGAAGCAGACGCGAGGTTAGGCGTGTTCGTTTTGCCGCAACTGGTTGTTTACCATTGCTCACTGCACGCCGCCGGTGTCTTCTTGTGCAATAAAGCAAGACTAGGCAACGACCGTGTAAGTAATGATTCGCTACCTCTGCGTGTTTATTAATGTCTTACCAGCGATGAGAGTTAGACAGCTGGTAATCACTGCGTGCCTGCCATTCCGGGGAGGTGAACGAGGATCAATTACTTTCTATCTGTGATTTGCATGGACCCCATGGCCCGGTGCTGGACCTGTGTCGGGTATTTCTTTTGCTGGTGGAGAGCAACGGTATAGATCGGTCGTCCGATATTTCAGTCAGCGCGTCAAGTTCAAGCAGAGGCAAGGTGGAGCAGCGGCCATTTTGAACCACAGACCGTCTCCGGCGGATCGCTCCGAAATTGAAACTCCATTTTCCGCTCGCCGATTTGGAGCGGGAAACACGGAGCGGTTTTTCCCCTCCCTCGCAGACTTTGGAAGCCGATCCTGATCTACCATTGGAATTCACCATAAAGACGCTAGTTTGGTGCCCCAAATCTTTTTTTAATGGTTAAACAAAAAGTAAAAAAAAAATGGCCCAATATTTATTTATTGAGCCTATGCAGTGCGTTCCCGAGCGCTATTCTGGCATGAAAATATTGATATAAAGTAAGCCAAAGAGCGGGGTACAATTAAGCTTTTTACAAATATATCTTCAGGTGATGCATTTACCATAATCAATTTTGTGAGTGTAGGTTCCTGAACAAAAAGCAGGGAGTGGAACCCGTCATTCTTGCTCTTCGGTTCGGGTTCTGGTTCAGTGGCTTTTCATTTTGTACCGGTTAGTTTCCGGTTTAGTGAAGATTTTGAAACAACGTTTTGGTTACCGGTTCGAAATGGTTGTTAAAAATAATTCCACAGCTCCAAGTTGTTAAGAAATAAAAAAATACACGACGTCATCTGCGTTAAAAAAAAAAAAAAGGGTAATCAGAAGCCGCGCTTCGGAAACGAAGACAGCAAAACAAACATTTGTTTAATTTCATTTTGTGATCCTTACGTTTTACAGCGAAGTTGTATACCTCTACCCCGCCATGATTTCTTTTGTGTCGTCAACAAAAACTCCAAGGTTATACAGCATAGAGCGCAATATTTGTTTCAATAAAGAAAAGAAAGAAAAGCATCCAAACTGGATGATGGGTTTGAGCATGCGTTTCCCGGTACACATTACGGTTGCAGCTGCTCTGGAAAGGGTCGACGTCATTCGAAGCCCTCCAGTGACTCGTTATGCCAACTGACTAGCCACACCGGAATGGTGTGTGCAAAGCGAGGCGACAACCGTGCGGCAGGCGTTGCAATCTACGCAACCGGTGAAGCTTGTGTCCAGCCGTATGAACTCCACAATGACCAAGTCGACTGCGGGGATGTGTGTTCCGTGAAAACTAGCGTTATAATCTTAATTTTCACGGTCTACATTACACCGAATAAACCCAAATATCACATCAAGTGCTCCACGCGAGCGCACTTCTCCTCACTGTCAATGAATCAAGCCACACCAATAATCATTGTCGGGGACTTTAATGGGAACATTTCGAAACAGCAAAACAAGTGGCTCATCTGATTCGTCATGGAAACATTTGCACTCATGTGCTTCACCGATGGAACCCAACCAACTACCCATTCATGAATCATGCGGTGATCTAACTTTAGCTAAGAATTTCTCTACAGTGTATAGCGTGTATAGCTTTAATTATAAGGCACTTGCGAATGCCGCTACAAACTAAATAAAGAGTGTGCGCCACGTCTCACTGGGTAAGTCCTTGCAAGTGTCGTCACAGCTTCGCTGGCAAACCCCCTTTCCAGTGTGGAATGGCTTTACAAATTCTTTCCACGCAGCTCATTTAAGGCAAATTAAGTGATTATACAGGTTTAGAAAGTGCAGTACTCACATGTTACGTCAATCAGCCGGCACGCACATTGACGCTGTGACGGTAGAACGCACCGTTCTCGCAGACAACCCACCCCGGACTCCCGACCGCCTTGCTGGAAAGACTGATAACCTTGCAAATGAGTTCAAGAAAAGAAAGATAGTGAAGGGCGGTCTAAAGATAAACAGAAAGGAGATAAAAGTAAGCGGGCGACAAACCGCTCTTAAAGGACTCGAAGAAAGTTTATTCAAGGAGCGTCTTTACTGCGTTGATCCTTAAAGGAGCGGTGCAACGATATTCAACTGGAATGTTTTTCACTTGACACGAGCTTACTGGCACACCTGGGACTCAAGGACACTCACACGCAACGCCAATGGCCAAGAAACTCCTTTGTTGCGGTGTAATTTCAAGGACAAAAGCGATCATTTTCATTCAATCTCTCCTTTGCAAAATTTGATGACGTAACGTGGGGATCGCAGTACACCCAAGTGACGATATTTGAATGCGGTTCGTAGATTGGACCCGAGCATTGCGTGCGCACTCGACTTGGGCTCGTGATAATTGCTAGCTCGAGAAGCATTCGGGCAGTGACCCGTGTCCAATCGCTGCAACGACGACAACAGCCGAGTCATAACAATGTCTGGAACTCAGCGCGTGTCCTGCGCTTTGCCAACCCCAGCGCGTGGCTATGATCAACACTGGCGGCATATAATCGGCTCCAGATCACGTGGCCGCTTGTTCTGGCTGCGAGTTGAGGGGGTGAACGCTGCTCGTTTTTCTTTTATTTTTTTCTGGGACTTCTATTGCGTGGGGTGAAAAATGAACGCGTGTTTCATAGGTCATTAACGTTAGGGATCCGTTTTAAGCGGTATTTGCGCAAAGTACAAAAATTGTTGCATCGCTCCTTTAAGCTGAGGCTGCAGACAATGCCGCGAGCACGAGAGCTCGAGGTCGCTGCTTTAAAGCGTTCTTCCGCCATAACGAGCACTCGCTCTAGAAATGCACGTCTCGAATTCAAGAGTGGGGGCTATTGGCGACGTGCGCGACCGGAAGTGTTGCTGTGGTCGGCCTTCCACGATTGGTCCAAAAGCTGACTATGACGTCGGAAAGGGTATAACATCGACGGAAATAAGAGGAATGAAAGAACTTTCATTTCGACGGTGTTGGCAGTGTTCCTTTGAGAGCGCAATGATTTCAAGCTTCCAAGATGCTATTTACAAACACCATCGAACTTGTTGTTCGCAAGGTAATGACGTCACAAGGGGGAACCGTAGGAGGGCGCCACCAAAACATCTCGCCGCTAAATTCCGGACGATGGGTACGTATTGTGCGCCTTGTGTGGAGCAAGGAGGTGCTGAATAACTGTTTTTACTGTAGCAGGCTGGACCACGGATCGAGGCTTGTTTTTCTGGAGTCGCGCGATGCCACATGCAACCATCTCTTGACACCAGCTAATGCATGGCACTTTATGGGAGAAACAGGGGGAAATGCCATTTCATGCCTTAGCAGGTTATTGTCGACGATGAAACTTTGATAGTGTTTTCCGGGAATGAAAATTCATATCCTGGGCGCAAATATCAAAAGCTCTCGAATATCAACTTGTTGCAATAAATGTTTTCTGGTTGAGTGGCCAGGGTGGCGACTTTGTTGGCCGGAAACTGTGAGGCCGTTTATTGAGACAAGGGTTCCCGGGATTCAATGTGGAGTCGTTCGTGATCTCGCTTAGGAGTCGATAGGTTAGAAGGCATTTACTGGGGCATTTGCATCGTTTGAAGCGCTTGTACAGAATACTTCTGGTGCAAGCTTTTGCTTTGAACTGCAGTGTTGGATTCTTTCACAAACTAAAAGTCAGAGAGTGTTGATTATTTATTGAACATGTAATTTATTTAGAAATTGAAACAAGTTACGCAGGCACAGTCGGTGGTGCTCCGTCATATTTGACTTTTTTAATCGGTGTTCAAACGCTTTGCAAATACCGGTTTGATCTTCAATCACCTGATATAAGATATAATAATCGCAGCACATTATAATTTATAAAATACTAGATTTCGAGCACAACATAGAACTTTTAATATTCATTGCATCGCCTAATGTCAAGCAATGGATGCCGGCGGTGCTACCTACATATACTCTTTAGTGCTACCGATGGGCTCCCGATCCGCGATCCAGCCTACTAATATAGACATCAGTGTGCGAAGCAGTACACTTCGAGAGCAGTACAGGCTATGATCTCGTGTGTCCAGCAAATATGGTTCAAACAAAGAGAGGAAATGGCCCTGAACTGCTGGCGAGACACACGCACGACAAGAGAACCGACGCGTCGAGAAATTGAGATTGGCGGGACGCATTTAGCACATCGGGAAAGCAATGTAGCAGCGGAGTTTCTGAGACGGCCACCTTAGCCCAATGCACGTAGCACTGATGGCACTGCGCCGGAACCTCGCTGTTTATAATAGCTTCGTTCGCTCGTTCAACAATATCAGTGGTAAAAACGTCAATGCAGCCAAGGTGCTCTGCATATTTGGACTGAAAGACTGAATAACAGGCGGCCTTCGCTGCCTCTGACTTTGAATCAACTCAACAGCCTTTATCAAACAACGCGTTCTACGTGGCCGAAAAACGAAACCGAAAAAAGATGAGGCGGGGGGGGGGGGGGGGGGGGCAGAACTTTCCTCCTGTCTGCCTGGTGAATGTAGAAAACGTGTCGTTCCTCTCTTCTTCTCGTGTCCGCTTGGATGTGCGTGACGCCAGAGTACTGCTAGAGTGACAAACAGAAGGAAACGACAACAACAAGCCTTCAACACATATGGCATGCTCGCGATGGTACCTTTAACAGGCGTTTAGTCGTTCGGTGCTCGTTGAATAAGCACGAGTGATTGAAAGCCTGCCAAAGGTACCCTCGCGTGCATGATGCTCGTGTTTGAGCATATATCGTTCTTTATTCTACCAAGCATGTTAACTCGCGAAAGTCTCTGGTTTGAAAGTTGTCGCTATCGTTTGTTTCTGTGTATCGCTCTAGTGGGTTTCCAGCATCATTAGAAAAGGAAGGAAACGCGCTGTTGCTACATTTTTCCTTCATTGTTTTCTGAGAGTGTGTAGTTAATATCCAGAGCAAGGTACCGCAGACGTTTGCAAACAAATAGGTTCTGGATTCGGTTCCTCATGGGTGATGGGTATATATTGATTTGTCAGTAAGTGAGCGTGTACATTTTTGTTCTGTTGCTTTTTTGCTTATGTTGCTATTGCAACCCATCCGTTTGCGTTGATACACCCTGCTATGAGAAATGGATGAACGGACGGACGAACATTAATGAGTTCAGTGGGACATTGATGGCCGAATGTGTTAACGCAGCGGAGCTCCGAGCACGTAAAGCGAAAGCTCTTGCTGCAAAACCCCAGGGATTTTGGCTTAAATCATCGCTCCTGCTCGTTTCGATCTGAATTAATGTCGTACCGGCGAGCGGTCGTATATTACTACCGCGTCAAGCAAGTTAAAGACCACAGGCTAGCAGTCGTGCTGCAACGGCCAAATTCCTCATCTAGAGTGTAAATCAGTGTCGCCTATCTCAAAGAAAGACCGACCTTACGTTATTTAAACACGGACGTCATATTTTTTTAAGAACAAGATTTTTGGGTTGTTTTCTATGAAATAAAAAGTCACAAAACAGCGACAGGTGAAAAAGGTTTCACAAAGAAAGAAGTTGGAAAAACAAAAACACGACGCCCTAGCGGGTCATGAACCTGAGTTGGTAGGTGCGGGGCAGTCGAATATCACAGCCACTGCAGCACAGCTACTCTGGAAGCATTGAACTGCCGGCAAAACGAACCAGCGAAACTGGTGTGGCATCATACAATGTGGCGGTTTGTATGGGGCACTTTGGCGGTCCCTGGTCTTTGTCAGCATGGTCAATCTTGTGTAATTTTTATTTTTTACATATGATTGCACACTTTCAATGCGACGACAAAGAACACACCGACGACGGATTTTGCAGCCGATGAGAGGGGGGGGGGGGGGGGGCAGACCACAGGCGCCCACCTTCTATGGAACTGTACGGAACTTGTTCCCGGGCGCGGGAAGAAGCGACCAGGAAACTCCCACCCAAGGTGCGCCCAGGATCTCTTCGGGACTTGACAGTAGAAACACTTGAGGGGCTCATCGCTGCACCGCGAAAGCTACTCGACGTCATATCGGCCATGAATACACAGGACCCTACCTAAGCGTTGACGTTCTCAATAGGCCATTAGCTAAAAACTCCCAAAGCAGCGCGCCAAGCCTTGTATCCACCCTTGCAACTGCAACATCTGCCACGTTACACTGAAGAGAGCGAGAGGGTGCCGGTGCTGCTCCCCTGCCCCGGCCCGATCGCCGTCGCCTCTGTCGTCTGCTAGAACCGGTGCACCTAGCGGTGTTCCCGGCACTCCTTCCGGCGCCATGGACGGTGCTGCATGTTTCGCAAAAGGTCCACCTTCTCAATCCGTACTTTCTCCACCAATCCGCACCATTTCTCCGATGTCAGTGGAGAAGTAATTACAGTCTCTGTATTGTTTCATTTATTTGACCAAGTTTCTCGTCGTGTTTACAAAATAATATTGAGTGACATACGGGCTGTACAGATCGACGGGGGGAAGAAAGCAATATATATTCTTCAAAACCAAATCAAGCAACATTATCGGTCGCCATTTCTGGCTAGGTGGCGCAGGTGGCGCCGGTAGCGCCATTAATTAATCCATTTTTAGGCACGAAGCGACCCAAAGATTCAATTCTTCGCCAAACAATGACGAAGCACTCGTTCCCGAACCCAGCTAAGCAGAGTTGAAGTCCAATATCCAGCTCAAGTACATTCCCAAACAATGGCGGCCTCGGGTGATTTTAGCAGCAACTATTACATGGTGCGCACTTGTGAAAATTACCTATTGTCTATAGCGATGCAGGGCGTCCGGTTGTGATGCAAGTGTTACCGATACCGCCTAAATGGTTAATTTCGTCAAGTACCATGGTGTAATAATGACAGGATAATTGGTGAAAGCAAGGACACACGCTCGCGTCGACAGAACGCAGCTTTATATTTTTTTTCTACAATCAATAAAGAAAGCAAAAGAGCACAAGAGCCGTCGAATCGCGGCGTATCCCAAACTCCCTAAATAAACAAAGATAAAAGAAAAGAAAAAAAGCATATACAAGGTGCGCGCATTTTCAACAACATTTGTCAGTAACAAACTGGAATGACCAATACCATCTAAAAGACGAGGCTAGAGCTTGACGCCATTTTCGGTGGATCCCCGCCCGACCCGCCCCAAGCGGCAAGCATGCTGAAGCCCGGCGGGAGTCGCTGCAAAGCGGCAGATGCGGCCGTCTTGTCAGCGCGTAGTATACTGTAAACAGCTTATTTTTCGCGGGATCAATATTTCGCGATTTAGGCCAAAGCTGAAGTTTTGAAAGAATTCGGCAGTTCTAATTTTCGCGACGCGGTGTGATCTAAATATAGATTCCAATGTGTGTACATTTTACCGGGATTGTTCTTGGGACCTATTTTTCGCCAATTGTAGGCGTTTCCCGGAATTCGCTAAAATTAGGTCCTCGCGAAAATTAAGTCGTTTAGAGTAGTTCTTTTCAACCCCGTCCGGACGCAACCGACGCTACGAGCTGATAGGACAAATCAAACAGCGTGAAAGGTGAGAGTCACGGGGGCTTCCCTGCACGTGCTTGGTTCAGCAATTACACAACATACACACAAACACGACGAGCATGATCCTGGATCGCCCATAACGTTGTTGTCTTGGTCCCATCGTCGCGCCCGTTTTTAGATGTTCCAAGAGGTGCTGGCGGCGGTGCTGACGCAGGGTATAGGCGGTGCTGTGTTGATCCACCAGAGATGACTTTTGGGGAGGAGAGGCGCAGCCTTTGTCTTTTAGGTGGTGTCGGATTGACAGAGCGGAAGCTATGGAGCGATAAAACTGTCTTGCGATGCGAAGCAAGCCGGTTGTGGTGGAAGTGGTCGCTGCTGATGCCGCCGAGGCCAGGTCTTGTCACCCTCACTCCGTCAAGTGCCAGAGGTGAGTAGTGACGAATGTGGCGTAAGGACGCGAAGTGGGATCATCCGAACCGATGAAACGTAGATTTATGCCTTTTCCTGCTGTTAACAAAACGTAAAAAAAAAAAAGACAAAGGACACATTAAACACTTTGCTGCTGTTCTTGCTATTTTGATGAAAGTGGGCGCAAGCTGGTCTGCTTCTTTTACGGGAGTTGTGGTGACGTCACAACGCCGAGCTCCGATCGTCTCTAATTGAAGAATAGTGGGTAGACTTCAAGGCAGCTTGCTTTGAGGTCTATCCGCCATCCTTCAATCAGAACTCATCGTATTTCTGACGTCACCACAACCACTGCAAAAAAAGCAGACCAATTTGCGCTCCTCATACCATCTAGAAGACAAGGCCTGCGACCTGTCCTCTAGATGCCTTCGAGGGATGCTGTTACGGAATACCACGACGTCACGTGATGTCGAGTTTTCCGCAAAAATTAGCCAAGAAACTTTGCGTCACTTGAGGTCACGTGACGTCAATGTATTTCCGCGGGGAAATCTTGCACGATGGTCCAAGGTACGGAATGTCGAATTTCCCGCCTAATTTAACCGAAACATTTCGCATCGCGTTAGGTCAAGGGACCTGAAGTCACGGCATCAAGACGTGGTGTCACGCGTTATAATGACGTCACACGACATCGAGTGACGTGACGTCGATTTCCGCGCCACATTTAGTGGTGAGATCCATGGACGTACGGACGATACACTGAAATTGGGAGGAAAGGGGGGGGGGGCGAGTTCTTCAAACCGGATTCTATGCTCTAAAAAAAAAAGCATTTGGAAGACCGTATACTTCACTGAATAGAGACTGTAATTTATGTTGTAATTTTTATGACTAAAAAAAATATCAATACCTTTCACTGATCATACGCCAAACAAAATACACGGTGCAGACATGATGGTAGAATTACCATTGAACACGCCTTAAGGATGTTCGAAGCATGTTTCCTTCATACATATCCGCAGACGATTTTTCTATGACCAATGTGACCATCATACAATAAAGGCACACGCTCCAGACAGTTCCTTCACTCTTCTGTATGATGCATTAGCTTTTTAGCCACGGCTTTAGAGACGGCGAATGGCTAAAAATGCGCTGCATGTTCTGCCTCCAGCACGCATTCGTTTTTCTGCGCAGGTCTTTGGCTGCCCTGTTGGACAAGGGCCGTCAGAGGCAGAAAGCTGGTTCTGGAGGCGGAACATTTACTCGATTATAAGTCCGTCACTAAGTGTAGTTGGGAGGAAATCGCAAAAAAAAATTTACTCACCGAATAGCTCCCGAAGAACTGCCTCCGGCATACTTGTGGGAAAACCTGACATAAAATGTTGACCTTGGTTAAGTGACGGTTCAGCGCAAGGGAGTGCTTACGAAGCGTGTATTTATCTTGGCCAATCGGTGAAACAACACTAAGGCAACTCTTGGAAGCACTTTAACTTTCCGTCGGTTACGACGAGCTATGATGATATCAATATAACCGGTATAACGGCTCTTAATATAAGACGCAAAAAAAAGTTGACTTGCTGCGCGCTGCCATGGATATACCGGGTGTGTTTTTTTCTTTATACTTACAGATTTGTTTAACAAAAGCCGTGAAAGCTACACTTATGCGGTTTGTACAGGTGGGTTATACGGCCGGGCGGACGTTATGGGGGTGGCGAATCTTTGCGATAAGTCTTCTAATTAATTAAAATTCGTTAATTAACTTTTCAATTAGTGAAAATAGACATATGGTTCCAATTAAAAACTTGTAAATCATCATCGAAAACCACTAAATCAACTATTTTTAGAAGGATATAACGCTGGGGCATCATTTTACGGCGTTCTGCAAAAACGTGCCATTTGGACGCGTTTCTAGATTTCGGTTTCTTATCGGAGCGCATCTTTGCGCCCGCGATCCTGCTCCCTGGTGCTCGCGGCTTGAAGCCACCTCCTCGCCTCCTTCGTAGGATGGAGGGAAGTAGGGCGCTCGTGTGTTGCGCGTCTCAGCCACTGGGGAGCAGGACCGCGGGACGCGGTGGTGCGCTCCGATAAGAAACCGAAATCTAGAAACGCGTCCAAATGGAGCGTTTTTACTCAACTGAGAAAACCGTGACATGAACTAAACCAAGATTTCTCTGGCTTTTTCTTCGCTGCAACTCTTTCTCAAAAATTCATTCTGCACCAAGAAACCACTTTTTTGTTGCTTATTTTATTACTGATGACAATTTAATTTCATCTAAATTTCGATCACCCCGCACGAAAATTGAGTATTACATACAAATCTACAAAAGCCCCCAAAATGACCGTCCTTTGCGAATCCACCGTGGAGTCACAGCTAGGAATCCCGGAGAAAAGCTCACCGGAGAAAAGCTCACCGGAGAAAAGCTCGCCGGAGATAAGCTCACCGGAGAAAAGCTCACCGCAAAACCGGCGGATGCGGAGAAAAGCTCACCGGCCATTGAGCGTATGCCCAGAAAAGCTCACCGATATTTTTTCTTCTTTTTATATGGAGGCCATTGGATCGTGCGTAACATATATCAATTTATTATCATTAAAATTCGTCAGCTTTGTAAAAAATAAAATGTCCTCTTTTGTAATATTTGTTAAGCTTAATGGGTATATATTGCTTCCAAATTAATAATTGCGGGCCAGTGTTTTTTGTAGCTTACTCTCTAGGCAACGAAAACCTAACTAAAATCTTTATGAACTTGAAGAACAGGAAAAAGTAAAAAAAAAACGTAATGATGATTGCCTAAAACCTAAAAATCAAAGGTGTAAATGCCGAAAATTCAAAAGTGCACGCGCAACACCGCGGTGCCTGAAATTCTCTTTGAAGCTTTTGTTAACATTTGAAAACAGGATAAAACAGTCAATAGGATATCGAGGCTTCTTTCTTCCACGGACACGCACGCTTTCTAACCGTTCGTGCTGGTGTTTCCGCACGTTCCCTTTGTGTGATAGTGTCCTTCTACGGTGCGCCAGCCATGACCTTCAGAGGTGCACACTGTCTCCTTTGTTATTCGTGAGCTATATAAGAACTAGTCATTTGTAAGGTAGGTAGCGAATTGGGCGAGTTGGTAAACGTTATACATGATGAACACCGCTCAAACGACGACGACGGAGTGAAGACAACAAACACGACACGCCGAAGCTGTTCTCGTAACTAAAGTTTTGTTAGGGAAATAAATTAACAGAAAGAAACCAGCGTAGCCGACACTGATTACATTAACAAACATCTACTTATCTATTAGGCACTACACAATATTTGGGCCTCAAGCTATTCACCACACCGCTATTCATATTAGCTCGCAAAAAACAAACCTCTTTATCTGACAGAGCTACCGACGGCGCACCCTCAGCTGTCAATAAATTGTTGCCTTTTTTACCGGTGTACGATGTTCTGATTTTATACTTGCGGCTTCATTAATTTACAAAATGGGTGATTACTAATTTCTGAGGAATTAGTAAATATGCCCAATGAACCTCAAGAATATTACAAAAGCGAGGATATATTTTTAATGAAGTGACGAATGCGAATTGTGTTAAATTGCAATGTTTTACGCAGAATCAAGCTAAGCTAAACAAATATCGGTGAGCTTTTCTCCGCATCTGCCGGTTTTGCGGTGAGCTTTTCTCCGGTGGGCTTATCTCCGGTGAGCTTTTCTCCGGTGAGCTTTTCTCCGGTGAGCTTTTCTCCGCCGCCCCACAGCTAGAGGCACTAAATAAGCTACGCTGCAGAGTAACAACACTTGCGACCATCTTGGTGCTTTAAATATGGTCGCCAGTTATCTGAAGCTTAGGGGATGCTATCGAATGTGATACTCCCGAACGAATACACGCAGCCGCGCAGTTCCCCGAGTGGCCGCTACGGGAGAAATGGCGGCGTTGCGATCGCCATTAGCTTGGTTCTGGAGTACGAATCGGCGCCACTTTTTTGGAGCAATTTTAATGGCAGTTTCCGAACTGAGTTGTTCAAGTAACGTTGGCCGATACTCTAAGCGTAGCTCATTTAGTTGCTCTAGTCGCAGTGACGCCTGCGATATCTTATGGAACCCTAACGTATAATTACGTGTATTGCGCTTATGAATCTTGCACCTTTCGAGCAATAATTACCAGTGTCTGATCGGAGAGCGACACACTGATTTATAACTATGAAGCTATACAAATAAAAGATGTCATGCTACTGGCTAGTAGTCACGTCACATCATGGCGTTTCGAGATGGGTTCTCTAGAAGAAGTTTTATAGAATTTCTATAGAAGCACTATACACTTTTTTAAACTCTCTACACATCTTTTATAAGGTTGACATTGAATTTTCATAGACACCTCATAGATATTATGTAGAGTTTCTAACCTCTGAGATGTTTTAGCAAAGTTTTCGTGACAATTTGACGTCGCGTGGAAGTGTGACGTCAGGTAACAGCCTGGTGTGTCACGTGACTTCATGACGTCACGGTGACGCGACTTTGTGACGTAAATTAGTGACCCTGCGCATTCTACAGTGTTTTATGAACTCAACGTTTTTGTTGCAAAAAAAATTTCGAACATTATGAGCCTCACCTTTGTAAGTACTATCATAGACCATGGTCCACAAGGCGTAGGAGAAGTTTGGTGATAGCAATGACATCATCAAGGTGACGTATCTGTGATATAAGGTAAGATAATATTAAAATTATGTATTGAATCAATTCAGAGATAGTATATTAACGCATAACATACTTTTTAACGCTATCCCGTATCCAAAAGTTTCGTCCTTCAGTTCGTCCGTCCGTGTGTCCGTGCATTACCTGCTAAATTTAGCGGGGAAGTTGATTTCATATGACCTATACTCGAATTCAGTTTCCCCGCTAAATTTAGCGAGAAATTCGATGTCACGTGAGCTGACGCGTCACGAAACCTACAGACGAATTCAGATGCCACCCGCGAAATTTAGAGGAAAAATTGTTGTCATGTGACCTATACTAGAGCAGTGCACAGGTGTACTGTTTGAGGCCTGGCCCAGCCCGGGCCCACTGTCCCTTAGTCTTTCCTGACCCAAACCCGGCCTAATGGGATGCCTATCTTATCCGGCCCGATCCGGGTCCGGTCCGTGTATACAGCCATAGCCTCCTATATTTACCACATCCGGTGGGAGTTGATACCACGAGGGCGCCACAGTCTTTGGTGCCCCAGTAGACTTCCGGTTGTGCATTTATTTATTCTTCGGCAACGCACAGCGGTCGGATAAGAAGAGTTTCCTTCAGAGAAGTTTTTATAGTATGCTTGTAAGAACATTCGTGCATTGTACAAAGTAGTGCAAATAACAAAAGGAGGAGAGACAAATGGAAAAGAAGAGGAAAACCGGAAGCGCGCAGGGGTCCGCCGATAGGGGGTGGTAGTGAGCTGTTTGCAAACAAACATCGGTGAATACTGACAAAGCCTGGCAGATCGCCACGATAAGCGGCCGCCGAAATGGAAAAGGTGGAGCGGCAGACAACGAATGAGAGGAGAGCCACGTGACTGGCGCCCCGCTGTGGCTAGACACCGAAACACACTTCTCCCGAGCGATGGAATGCCCGTTCGTGCTCCTCGCGTTCTTCGCTGTACCGCTCTTTTTCTCGTTGAGTTTGAAAACCATGTTTCGGCTCCTTGCCGCTGCAAAAGCTGTGAGCTGACGTCCAGGTGCGAGAAATGGCTATTTGCTGCTCTGAGCTAGCAGATCCTCGTGCTCCAAATCTGGAACCGGGCACTCTATGGCTCCGTCATCGAACTGCCAGGCTTTGTGGGTATAGAAGAGGCTGCGGTAGAGCGTGCGGGCGTGCATCGAAACTGCAAAATAACCATAAAAAAAAACTTAGCGGTGGTATTGCACAGACTAAGCACTTATCCGCAGCTAACAGCAGCTAAGGAAAACAATAAGTATGACACCCAAATATTGCTTGAAAACTCCGAGGCAGATAAACACTGCACCGATGCATCAAAAGTAGAATCTCAAGCCGCCATCGCAGCAGACAGATGAAGGTACCAATCGCGGTCCCAAAAACGCTACCACCAAGAACGGGAATAAAACAAGCGGAATTGATGGCCGTCCAGCTGGCCATCGAAACCACAGCTTTCAGCCCACACAAGAAATTCTACATGTACACAGACGCCAAAAAGGCTTTTGAGGTATATTGTAACGTTTCGAACAGAAGTAAAACGGTACAAACCGTAAAAGCAATTGCAAGCATATACAAAAGCGAAGGAAGAGAAGTAACCATAAGGTGGATCACGCGACACCAGGAAATATCCGGGAACGACACCGCGGACGCTGGCACACGGGTCTCCTTTCCTCCTCATCAATTACCCGGGCATGGCCCTGACAGCAACGGAGTACGAAAATGGGACACTGGATCTTCAATTCAACTGGAAGCAGAAGCCGTAGGTCCCTTGGCACTGAAAATTCTCAAACGCCAGGCAGCCCGTGAGCGGCTTGGGAGCTTCCTCCGAGAAGACCCGCATCTCCTCTGAGTGGATAAATACACCCGTTGGGAGAAAGTATTCCTTAGAAGACTACGCACCCATACCGAAATGGTTTCCAAAGGCGCAGCCGTTTTCAAGAAAAGCAGACAAGCAGCGAAACAGCAGGAGCCAGAAGTTCAGGATTCACAAGCAGGACCCTCGGCCCAACCCAAGAACGAGATCCTCTGTGAATGCAGCGAGGCAACCGCCTCAGAGACCCAGGTCTTCTGGGACTGTCAACACAAACAAGAGATAAGACGGAAAGCACTAGAGGCATCACCAATTCATATGCTACCAAATAGCCTTAAAGAATGGGTCCTGCCAACTGGATATCCCCAACATCGCAAGGCATCCCCGTATTCCCTCCTCACATATGTTAAGGAAACCAAACTCACACAATTCATCTGAAAGAAATAATTAGCATATCCTCGTCCGTTCAAATAAGATTAATTAAGTCAAAGTCATCGAGCGCAGTTCACTCTTTTATAATTAATTATAATATAGAAATTTTTTAACCAACCGAGTGAGTCCGGTGGCAAAGAATGAGTTGAGCGCGAACTACCAGCTCGCTCAACCATCTCGCAAAAATTGACATCACGTGACTTGAGTTAATATGTCGTGTTCAACTCACGCCAAAATCCTCATTAATAGTATCGAAAAAATTGACGTCACGCAACTTAAGGTCTCATAAAGTTGTCACGAGACGTCAATTTCACCATTAAATTTAACAAAAAAATGGACATCACGTGCAATAATTCCCGAGTAAATGTAGCGGGGAAATTGTCGGGAAGGTTCTTCGTGGTGATTTTCTTTCAATCGGCTTATAAAACACATGATGTGCTAAAAAAAGAACTGCCGGAGTAGTGACCTGCAATAGTATACTCCTTCCAAGGGTTGCAGGCTCGGGGATTAAAGCCAATGGTCCATCTCAAGGCTTTTGTGCTGCACTATGGGAGATATGGACCCGAGTGAGGGGATTTTAAAGATGCGCGTGCAAATATGGGAATTCGCGAAGCCACACTCTCATGAGCTATATATTTCACAGTGTGGTGCACATCTTGTAATATGGGGCGTGTATCTTGGTGTGTATGTTGGCTGGTCTGATGCTTTGTAAAAACTGATATTTCCTGGCTACATAGCGAAAGGTAACGCAACAAATGCCAGGGATCCTGCGTTAATCTTCGACACTACCCGTTTTGATCTTGAATAATTGTGTTATGTGTATGTTTATACAGCCTGAAGTTAGTTTGCCCAAACTGGTGACTTGCCACTTAGCTGTGGATGAGTAAATCAGCCAGTGCAGTACAACCGCTCTCCTGGGGTCTTAACTATGCGCCACGCAGCATTGACAGACGATCGCACGCCGATATGAGGCTCATTCAGATCGAAACGGTGAGGGGCGGGGATTGAAATGTTTTGATCGGGATGAGCATCGTACTGGCGTGCGGTCGTGTGTCACTGCTGCGTAATGCACGCTAAAGGCCCCAGGTGAGAAGTCCCGCTGCACTGGTTGAATTTCTCATCTACGTCTGAGACACCAGACGGCTATAAGGACCCCATTCACACAGCCGGCTCCTCGCCCCATCCCGGCGCTAGCGCTGTCGGCGCCATGCCGAAATCGGGACGGCGCGGGGACGGTGAGGGTTCGAACCAGGGGTGATGGAGCTGCCGGCGGCGGCTACATAGATGGTTGGATGCTGGTGGCTGTGCCTTCTATATTGGGTTGTAGCTTGCGCCACCTAGCCAAGAAAACGTTCTGCTCCTTCTTTTCAAATCCTGCGTCAAACGTTTGCACCCCGTCAGACTGTATAAACGGTATAACCCATTAATTTTGCGCGCAATTTCACACTCCCCTAGACAAGCAATCTTGAAACCCGCCTTTTTGACTGCTCTTTTGGCGGCGTCGATTACCAAATGTAGCGGACGATCGGCGTCGATGGGCTCCGCCACAACTCTTAGGTTTGTTAGAGCTTGCGGTAGGGTGGCGAACACGATCTTGCATGTTTGAAAAGATGTTACTTTTCTCTACTAATCGAAACAAAAACGACAAGACCCACTGCGAGCACGTTTCACATTAATCATTCGTTACGCCACATTTCTTCCCGATGATCGACCATCGTATTTTTGTTTCTTTGTTCGTTCTTCCTTAAGATCACATTTACGTAGGTTGTAAATGAACCGGTCTAGTCTCATCATTCGAAGCAGTAGCTCAGCGGTAAATTCATATTTCTGTATGCCCGTTGTTCTAGAGCCGTAACCATCCCACAACGCGCGCGTCGTTCCACTCCTTTCCGAAAAAAGCACGGTCAATCCCCCCTGCCGCGGCCGTGCCCATGGTCACCAAACTCTTGAAAATCCGGCGGACTGAGCGAAAGTTCCCTAACTTGGGACTGGTCTACCCCCGTTGGGGTGGCACTCCCGCACCCCTCGTCTCCCGTCAGCGCCAGAGACGAAAGGCGTCGTCGTTCGGCTCACTTCGGGTTCGGCGGCGCGATTCCCCCCCCCACCCGTCCCGAACTGGTCCAAAAAAAACCTCTCTCGGCGGGAACGCCGCCCGGCACTGCCTATGCAGGACGGGGGAAAAGGCGGCTGTGTAAATGAGGCCTAAGGCAGACTAGCTTCAGGCTGTTTTAACATGCACACAACACAATTAATTACTTCAGGCAGCATTGTATTGGCACGACCGCCCCTAAATGTATATTATTCATATGATATGCTATTATTTGGCGTTTTTCCGACCCCCGTTCAATACACCGCCGACTCGCCTGTCTCTGAGCTCCACGTCGATTGAGCTCAATGCTCCTCTGTCCCACACAATGTCCATTGCTCCGGCGCATGACCTGCAAAATAAAGCAAAAAATCTACTAAAAGTTACGTGAAACAATATTGAAAGAAGTTGTACCGTCGAACGATAGCGCTTTTACAATACGATACTCGGGCACTGCAACAGACTATCAAGTGTGAATATCTTGGAGGATTATGAAACCAGGTTCGCAAATCACGATCATGGTGCACGCAGCCAGACACATTCTCTCCTGGCCTCTGGCTACCTACTCAATAACAAGCCAAGAGGAGCCAATGCCGAGGAGGCACCTCCTCGCGCCGACCCGAAACATCAGGCCGGTTCACACTCCAGACCATCCGGGATTCTATGATGCGGATAGCGGAGGCCGGAGATGTTTTCGGGTTCCCTTAAGGGGTGTCCAAACAGGACACTACAAAACCCGCGACCCCGGCAAATCGTGCCGCGCTCTGCCGCGATCCGCTTAAGGCCGTCGGAGGGAAATTTCCCTCCGTCAATTCTTCCCGGGGGAAACTTCCCTCCGTCAAATCTCCCCCTCGCTTCCTCCACGGCGGCCTTGCTCTGCTTATCACGTGGGTCCGGAGAGCCACTCACACGCTCTGCTGGCTGTCGGTCAATTGCTCAAGGCCTCCGCTCACAATACGGAACCGCATCGGACGCCATCACGACGAAAGTGAACCTCGACAAAGAAAGCAGATCCCAGGCGGGCGAAACGCACCCTTCGACGCAGGAATGTCCCAAATCCACCCAAAGCCGGACCTCCTTGGCCTTCGAGCCGAGGCGACGGCGGTACGCGAGGGCGTTGGCGAGGTGAGACAGTTCGCAGGTGGCGTGTGACGTCAGTCTGACGAGGAGAGCAGTCGTGATCGTAAAAATTTTCACGACTCCTGCAAACATTTTCACGACTCCGACAGACCGTAAAAATAGAAGCGTCCGCTTCAATTTTCACGATTTGTCGGAGTCGCGGGTTTTGTAGTGTCCTGTTTGGACACCCCTTTACCCGGCGAGAGGAAATTTTGGGGCCACTTGGGAAATTTGGGAGCCGGCCCTCGATGCGGGAAGTGATCACGTATTTTCTCTCCCTCACCCTCGCAGCGAAAGGTGTGATCAGCTGTCGAACAGGTGACCTTGAACGCGTCGAGGTCCAGGCAAACATCTATTAGATAACCAAGGAGGCGCAGGAGTACAGTTCCTCTTGCTAAAGGTTTGTTTTTGCCTGGTAATTTAGGACCCTCCAAGCCGCAAGAAGCAAATGTGTAATTTAACTTGATATCCGTTTGTAAGAGTCCGGCTATTTACCCTAAATTGCCAAACAATTGCCAGAGTTAGGTTTCACTGCCTGGCTGTTGGGTTGTCATCTGACTTCTTTGGGCGTCAGTTCCTGAAGAACTGTAAGAATTAGGCTTCATTTCTGGTTGACCAGATCTCGCTTGGCAACTTTGGGCCGGAGCTGGTCAGTATTAGAATACAAATATATCGGCATAGTATCTCACAGGCACTTCGAGTATTTGTATCTGTGTATATGGAGACATGTTTCAAAAATGTGATTGTATCTTAGTAGTGAAATAAATATATGGTGTATCGCTTCTGTCCAAATATTGCATATTCAATTCTCAATGCGACTAGCGAAGGCAGCAACACGCCACCGCGGTGTCATCACATGTAACGCAGGCAGTTTGCGGTTTCCGGTGCCTACAACGCGCAATGCGGTTTGGATGCACAAAGAAAGGGAAGGAGAGAAGGAGAAGAAAGGTGACGTCAAAGCAGCGAACCCTGATTGGAAGGATTAGTGGGTAGAAACAAAGGCTAGCTGTTCTAGCCTCTCTACCCCTGTCCTCCTCCACTCAGAGTGAAGAAGCGCGTCGTCTGGGGGGCTATGTTGCACGTTTTGGACTCCCAGGAGACTAGGGAGAAGGAAGTGACGTCAACAACGCAGCAAATGCAGATTGGATGTCGATTTTGTTTTCTTCTGTCAACGTCCAATCTGCGTTTGCTGTGTCGTTGACGTCACTTCCTTCTCCCTAGTCTCCTGGGAGTCTAAAACGTGCAACATAGCCCCCCAGTTCTTCAAGCAGGGTCTGGCGTTCGAATGTCGAACGCCGCGCGCCATGCCGTAGGCGAGGAGCAGACGACGCTCTTGTTCTGTTTGAATTAGGAAGATAACGTGTTCAACGCTCTTAGAGCTATAAGCTGACAAGTCCCAAGGAAGAGCGGCATTCGAAAACGGTTCTTCCCTGTTTTCTGCACGCGGGCAGGGGTGGGCAGAGAGCGTTCCGCTCCGCCAGCGACAAGGCCTGCAGACAGACGACGGAGGACATTTTTTAAACGATGCTCTTTCGGAGCAAAATGTTTTTCCAATCTTGACGCTTACCATAAGAACTAGTTTTAAATCACTTTCCAGCGCAGGCAATGTGTATCCAACGTTCCACCAGTTCCGCCTCTTCTTAATCAGGGCGGGATGATGATGATGATAATGATGATGGTTTACGCAGGGAGCGCCACCGAGCGGACGCGAAACGAAAAGCCGCTAGGCGCTCTAGCATGCACTCTAAAAAGCTTTTTACCCCGACTTTAGACAAGTGCCGCTACCGCTGTCACTTTAAAATTGCTCGTTTGTATTGGTGGGAGACCGCGTCACTCACTGTGCCCCTCTGCCCAATTTTCTTTAATAGTATTAATTGATGTTTCGTCCCTCATTGAGCATTCTGTGCGGTAAGCAGAAGAGTACTTACTTGTTGAAGTCAAACACGCTGCAGACGAATATCCGCAACCTCTTCTCGGGAGTCTGTGCAGAAACCGATAATATAACAAGACGAAAATTATATTCGACAAAGAAACGCCCCTAATACGCCGGAAAAGTCTCCACGCAAATCGCAGATACAAAGTCACGATATTATTTTTTTAGAGCCGATGAGCGCGTTTTGCGGCATCTCGTGCCAATTGATGGCATACTACCAGGAAAGATATTACGGTCTAACGTTCTTCGCCGACATGACTATAAATTTTGATATCGCACTAACATGTTTCAAGACTTAATATGATCACCTCGAGATATCCCTCCAACTCTCGAGCCACAATTCGAGTTTTCATTGGATAATGCTGAAAACATAACCTCCATAAAAAGCGAGGCGCCATTTTCTGGTACGGTAGAGTTCGCCTGCTCGCAAAGCCTTACAAGATGAACGGCCCACAGCACTATTGGTCGGTTTCACGAAACGCCTTCTCACTTCCGGTAGGCCTCGCTCCGCAAATGTTGGTGAACATCATCCACAACTTCCCCCATTTGCTTACATGGCGCCATGTTTGATTTTGGTAAAGCAGGCAAGCGTGACGAGTGATTTCCTTGACGATAGAACTCAGTAAGTACTAGAGGAGATTTATTTGTGGACGCATAGTTTTAGTCTTACGTTGCTTTTGTGACCGCCCCGGCGGCGTCCACCGGCGTAATTTTGGCGGTCAACGGGTCGACTTCTGGATAGTAGGCTCGTCTTAAAGGGGCGATGCGATATTTTTTATCTTTGCGCAAATACCGCTTAAAACGGATCCCTGACGTTATTGACCTATGAAACACGTGTTCGTTTTTCACCCCACGCAATACAAGTTAGAAAAAAAAAAAACCGAGCACCGTTTACTTTCCCAACTCACAGCCAGAACAAGCGGCCACGTGATATGGTCCCAATTATATGCCGCCAATGTTGATCATAGTTACGCTCTGGGGTTGGCAAAGCACAGGACACGTGCTGAGTACCAGACATTGTGATGGCTCGGCTATTGTCATCGTTGCAGCGATTGGACACGGGCCACTACCCGAATGCATGTCGAGGCATCGATTGTCACGAGCCGAGATCGAATGCGTACGCAGTCATCGTGTCCACTGTGTGAGCAGCATTTGAATATCGTCACCGCAAAGCTCGATGACGCATTCCCGGAGATCGTACTGTTGCCATTGTCCCCACAGCTCCGTCGTCAAATTTCGCGAAGGAGCAAAAGGCGTTATTGAACATAGTTACAGTTGCGCACAGAAGGACAAGGGTAATTTTACATGTCCCCCACGAGCCCTCGGGCCTGTGGCCCCTCGTGCCTGTGTGGCGAACGCCCGAGCGGATTCCGCGTTCTGCACCACTTTCTTTTCCTCTTTCGTTAATACATGAGTTGTGAGTGTGCGCTTGTCTGTCGTCTACGTGTTCCTCTTCTCTGTCTTTGTCCCTGTGTGGGCAACTGTAACTATGTTCAATAACTACCAAACTCGCCCAACTGTCTAGTTTACAAGAGCAAAAGGCGGCTTTGGAAGGAGAAACTGAAAGAAAAGCTCCGCTTTCATCCTTTGAATTCCGCAGCGACGAAGACGCTTCTTGGTCAGTGGTGTTACGTTCGAGTATTCTTGGGTCCCATTAGTGCCAGGAAGCTGGTGTAAAGTAAGAAATATTCCTACGCGATATCGCTGCACAGCCCTTTTAAGTCCCCATCACGACAGGCATGTATACAAATTGAGTAACAGCTGAAGTTATTTTATGTTCCTGACTACTCTGGCTGGCGCAGTCGATCAACACTCAAAGGAAGTCTAGCGATTACAAAAACACTGCCTCCGCGGATAGGAAGGCATAGTTCGGCAACATGGCGTTCGGCGTGGTTTGGAGCTGGAAATATGTTACGTGAAACCGCCATACACAGACCTGTCGATAACGCCTGTGCTGCTGATGGGCTCAATTTCGCCGCGACCTTAACGATATCGGAGCTGTAAACGATAGGGAGGGCATTCGAATTGCTGCCTGTAACAAAACAGTCAAGGAAGGCAGTGATAGTAACCGACTCTAGAGCACTTTGGATCGCCTTGGACAACCGGAAAAACAAGCCCCGATAATGGCAAAAATGGTGGCTGCTGTAAGGCTAAGATGGGTTGCCAATAGGTTTTCAGTGGATGCCTGCATAGAGTTTTATGGAAAGGGGTGATTCTCTTGGGGTGGTTATCATGTGAGCCCGTTCTCGTTTCGACCTTCTCCACTTGGCCCTTCTCGAAACAACTATTCTCAGAAAGATCTTCTCTCTTGGACCCGTCGCATTTGGTCCTTTCCCGTTTCGTTTTTCGCGTTCCAACCCTCCTCATTTGGGCCCGCTCTAGTTTTGCCCTTTTCACCTGGCCCTTTTCAATACAGCGGTTCTCAAAAATATCTCGCTTTGACCCGTCGCACTTGACTCTTTCTACACCAAAACCGTTTTTTTTTGGGTAATATTAATACATTGATATAATTTGTGTGTGTGTGTGTGTGTGTGCCAGCCACGCTGCAGGCATACTTTCTCTGCTAAGTATCTTAGCAGTGCGCCGAGGTCGTCGTAAAAAGCTACTAGCTGACAATAAAACAGACCAACTATTTATCGCAGTCAGATCATATTTTGAAATTTCACGTTGTTTGAGGTCTCTCGACTTGGGACAATGCCACCACTTCTATAATGCAGTGGTTCTCAAAAGGGGGTCTGCGAAGGCATCCTAGCGGTCCGCGAAGCCCTGTCATCAGTCAGGCACGGCAATTTTAGTTGTCTTTCTTCACGTTGAGAAGAAACGTTCCAATTTTTGGGAGAGTATTCTCGTGTGTATGTCAATGAGATAAGTCTACTTTACACTAGCACTTAGTTATATCCATTTTTAAATCTTTGTCATGATAACCTATACCTTTCTATTACCCTCACCCCGAACGGGGTCCTCCATCATCTCCGCCTTTCTACAAGGCGTCCGCGAAACATCAATGATTGAGAACCACTGCTATTATGTGTGCTATTTCTGTTCAAACAAAATTTCCAAATTAAATGTTCATCGCTTTTTTTTTCTCGTTTGCTTAGAGGAAGGGAAGCAGGCGTCAATATACGATTCTCTGTGCGTACCTCTACACATAACATATAGCTGATGGTATGCTGGGGGTCCAAGCAAGGTAAGGCTCGTCAACAAAGCCGCGAAGCCATAACGACGTTAGAAGCATGCCGAACTAGTGCCATTCGGTCGTAGCGCGAACGGGCGGAAGGAGAATGGGTCAAGTTGCGAAAAACACGATTCGGGTCTTATGAGAAGGTTCAAACGAGAAGGACCAAATGAGAAGGGGTCGAAATGTGCAAGGTTCAAATGCGAATGGGACGTTTTGAGATACACCCATTCTCTTGAGAACATGGCACACAGACTGAAGCCGCGCTTCAATAAACCCGCCACGTATGAATAAAGCACGCCGCTTCGTTCGCACATATTTCGTACTGCGCCCGTCTCGCCCAGAAGTTGCATATGGTCGTTCACCACCTGAAATTCTCGAAAGGCTTTCAAATTGAGGCGGCCTTAGAACACCGCATAAAGTAAAGTTTCGGTTTTTTACTATTTATTGTATGTTCTAAATGACTTATAACTTTTTTTTTTTTAATTTATAAATGAAATGATTTAAACATGTGCAAATATGCATGTAAGCCACGTGAACATAAAATTTATTTCAGCTATAACTCTTTTTTAGACTATTTTCAATTTGACGTTGACTAGCGCCACCTGGGTTTGAGAGTTCGAGAGCGACTTTTGTGCCGCGCATCGTTAATAACTTCTTCGTTATTACGGTGTGCATCGACGAAGGAGGAGGCGTCTTACCTTTTTGCCTGGAGGAAGGTTTATCTCTTTCCGTATGTAAAAACAGGTACTGCTTAGAGGTGTACTCCGTGAACTCTAAAACTGAGTCTGCATCCATTGCTACAAGCGCGAGAGTTCGAGGTCGCCGCTTTGATGCGTTTCTTTCGCAGAACGAGCACTCGCGCTAGAAATGCACGTCTCAAAGCCAGGAGTGCGTCAAAATTAATTGGTTCAATCGCCATCGCCTTCTCTACTTGCCAAGCAAGATTGTACTCTCTTGCCATCAGACACAGTGTGATTCGACAAGACGTTTGTGGGTTGTTTGGCAATTCAAGACCGTCTATGCAACACGCCAAGAGGATGTGCAGGATTTTGCGGTCTGAGATGTGGCGACAGGTCCGGTTTTATCGTTCCTGTCTCAGCGCCCTTGCCGACATCGGCATCCCCAATGATGGACATATCGCCAGATACAGGTTCTTCCTGACTACAGCCAGCCAAAAGACTGAATTTCTTTGGGGCTCTTACATCCCTCATCTAAAATACCTACGTTCATCTGGGTGGTTATCATTTGAGCCCGTTCTCGTCTCGACCTTCTCAATTGGCCCTTCTCAAAACAACCATTCTCAAAAAGATCTTCTCTCTTGGACCTGTCGCATTCGGTCCTTTCCCGTTTCGTCTTTCGCAATCCGACCCTCTTCGTTTGGGCCCGTTCTCGTTTCGCCCTTCTCACCTGACCCTTCTCAAAACAGCCATTCTCAAAAATTTCTCGCTTTGACCCCGTCGCACTTGACTCTATCTATACCAGAATCGTTTTTCAGGGTAATATAATACATTGATATGATTTGTGTGTGTGTGTGTGCCACGCTACAGGCATACTCTCTCTGCTAAGGATTTTAGCAGTGCGTCGAGGTCATCGTGAAAAGCTACTAGCTGACAATAAAAAAGACCAACTATTTATCGCAGCAAGATCATATTCCGAATTGTTACGTTGTTGAAGGTCTCTCGACTTGGGAAAACACCACCACTTCTATAAAGCAGTGGTTCTCAAAAGGGGGTCTGCGAAGGCATCCCAGCTGTCTGCTAAGACCTGTCTCATCAGTCAGGCACGGCGATATTAGTTGTCTTTCTTCACGTTGAGAAGAAACATTCCAATTTTCGGGAGAGTACTCTCGTGTGTACGACAATAAGATAAGTCTATTCCCCTTTCTATTCCCCTCACCCCGAACGGGGTCCTCTATCATCTCCGCCTTTCTACAAGGGGTCCGCGAAACATCAATGGTTGAGAACCACTGCTCTTATATATGCTATTTCTGTTCGAGCAAAGTTTCCAAATTAAATGTTCATCGCTTTTTTTTCTCTCGTTTGCTTAGAGGAAGGGAAGCAGGCGTCATTGTACGATTCTCAGTGCGTACCTCTACGCATAATATATGTCTGATGGTATGTTGGGGGCCCAAGCAAGGTAAGGCTCATCAACAAAGCCGCGAAGGCATAACGACGTTAGAAGCATGTCGAACTAGTGCCACTCGGTCGTAGCGCGAACGGGCGAAATGAGAATGGGTCCCGTTGCGAAAAACACAATTCAGATCTTATGAGAAGGTTCTAATGAGAAGGACCAAATGAGAATGGGTCAAAATGGGCAAGGTTCAAATGCGAATGGGACGTTTTGAGATACACCCCGTTCATCTAGGACGCAGCGGAAAGGCGAGTCTGTTACGCTCTTAGGCTGAGAGCCCCTTCCGAATGATATACGCGGTGTTCTTAAAAAAGGACCGAAATTCTGTACTGAGCCCCAACAGCAAGGAATACATATGGTGTCAAACGTCCATGACATCGCTACGAAAGCTCAGGGAGAAGACCGACAGAGTTGCGTATCTGACTGTATGGAAATACTACTAAAAGCTGGCCCTCAAAGCGACAGGAAGATACATTTCACTGGTATAGTCAATCAATTTCGAGAAAGCAATTTAAATCTTCTAATATCGGACAAGGAAGGAGGTTTTGCTGTGACGACCAGAGAGGTTTACCTTGATAAAGCCCAGTTCTCCATAGAAAAGAGTTTTATTTGCTTGGAGAGGTTCAATTAGAAAAAAAGTGAAGGCAAAATCACTCGAGCTGTGCTACAGCCTAGATCTAAGCCAATTGAGGAAACAGATAAACACTGCTAAAAGTGATCAATTGGAAATGTTTTTCACCGCCAAAACTCACAAAGAGGGTTGCCCTTTTCGTGTAATAGTAACTGAACGAGGATCTTGGCAGGGAGCTATGTCCAAATTTCTTTTACGTCACCTGAACAACCTCAATTTCTATAACCCTTTTCTTATTCCAAACTCAGAATCACTGATAGACTACCTTAAATCAAGTGCTTCGACAGTAAAGTTTGGACTCTCCCTTGATGTGGAAGACTTGTTCTACTCGATCCCTCACGCAAGAATGTTTGAAGCAGTCAGCGATTGCATAGAGGCTAATGGAACTGTGTCATTTCAAAATCAACGTGGTATACCATCCGAATGTTTCATAGAACTCCTTAGGTTCTACCTCACATCTACCTTTCTGACTTTTAGCGGCAATACTTACATCCAAAAGAAAGGGATTTGCATTGGCTCCTGTGTGGCACCTGTCTTATGCGACATTTTTCTTTCCACATGTGACAGGGGAATAGACCAGAGCCTTCCCACAAACCTCGTAACACGTATCTTTAGATACGTCGATGACTATCTCGTTTTACTTTTCATCGAACCTGACCAATATGATTGTGCTACCTTTAACATCGTAAGCACCACTTTCATGATACAAGCTCAAGGGCTCAAATTCACACATTAGTTACCTACTAATAGCGAGCGTCAATTTTTAGATCTACAACTGTCCTTTGAAGAATCACACACTTGTTGGACTTATGCACCACGGTCCAAGAAAAGACTCCTACCTTTTGATTCTGCCCACTCTAAGAACATCAAAAGAGGAATTGTGCAGAGTTGCTTTAAAGCGGCCCTGCACAAGTCCTGTGTACACACGGCTAAGTGTAGTTTCGAAGCACAAGTGCAAAGGCTGCAGGATTCTGGATACACCAATTCATTACTGTATGATGTAGCAGGATGTCTGATAACTCCCAAGGGAAGAGGAAAACGAAATTGCGAGAAGAGAACGCGGCCGGCAGTGATACCCTACTTCCACAACATATCCCACCTTCAAGCGGATAGCCTCAAAGTATGAAGAAACAGTAGTACTATCAGCTCCAAAGAAACTAAAAAAAATTGTGTCCTAAGATTAATTCGCAAAATGAAAATAACAACCACTGCACCGTCAAGCATACGCACAAGTACGTCAACTGCAACATCGACGTTGTGTACGAAATTCCATTCACATGTGGGAAAGTCTACGTCGGACAATCTGGGCGCTGTGTGAACGTGAGACTTCGAGAGCATCACCTTTCTCTGAAATCATCACCATCGGGACATCTCGCCATACATGTCCGGGACTGCCACTGCACACCCATATTTCAACAGACTAAGATCCTCAAGCACTACCATAAAAAAAGATCCAGAGAACTCTATGAAGCGAAAACCATATTGTCTCTCGGGGGAGCTTGCATAAGCGCACCATCAATAGCGCTGCCCGAGAAAGAGATGAGATACCTCGACCTTTTTTTTTAGCGCGGGTCGCTTTAATGTTTTCTAACCTTATATTTGACCTGCTGATTTTGTTTATACTTCTGAATTTTTATAACAGTCTTTTTTTGCTAGTATCAAGGGGTGAGGTCAGATTTAGTTTATATTTTTAATAACAATAATTTTTCTTCTTTTTTACCTTCACATGCCTAATTCTTCTTTTATGTCTTCCTCGGGGAATGCATTAAACTTCCAGTTGGAGTAGCGCTCTGTCCTGTCCCCTCTTCTTTTCCTTGGTGTTTGCGCTTTTGAATTTTTATACCAGGAGTGCGAACTAGTTCGCGCTTGTGGCTTTGGCTGCAGTTTTAGCTTAAGGGTGAACAGGTTACTATAGACTGATGCAGGTTAAGAAGGTAGGGCGAGCGATAAAAAGGTTGGAGAGAAGGAACCAGACACAACGCTTAGGGGAGGGTGTTTCCTCCTCCCCTTGCCAGCGCCGCGTCCATATTGTCCTCTCCCCCTTCTTTCCCTCGCCCTACCTTCTTGAGTTGTCACTCGCTATAGGTGTTGCGAGAGTTAGTGCCAGTTAATAGCTAAAGGTAGTGAAAGATACTAAGTTCTATTGATGAAGTTAGTAACCGTTGCCAGCTTCTTGAGCTAGTAATACCCCAGTCAGAGGGATCGGCTATACTCCTTTAGAAAGACGGACGATCTCCCCCCAAAAGAAGGACTTTCGTGCCACAGGGCATTGTAAACGCTCCTTCAACTAAAGCGTCCTTTTCCAGAAAAAAGCTAGCTAGCGTCCTTTGGTACAAAGGAAACACTCTTGACAGCAGGCGCTAACGAAAATGGAGGCAAGCTGGCGCATCATTTTGTCCCCTTGAAGCTAAAACTCGGCAAGGCTGATCTTGATATGGGTTTTTCAGGCGTTGGCTGATGACAAAATATATGCACTGGATAAATGGTGCATGGCGCCGTCTGCTTCAATAAGACATTCCTCCACCGATATAACCGTACTAAAAATACAGGAAGGTTCATTGGTGGATTGTTAGGAAATGCATTAGCATGGCCCTCGGAAACGCCACACAGGTCCCCTTTTGGTAAACGCTAACGCTGACCGCTTTCTTTTAGCTTTGTCTTTTGCTTCCTTTTACTTTTTGCTGCACCTTTTTGGCCTCGTTACGGGTCCAGTGTTAGCGTCTACCAAAGATGTACGTGTGTGGCGTTTCCCAAAGATTCCCTCAAAATGCAAAAATGAATATACCTCTTATTTTTCACCCCTTTTCTTTACTCTACCTGTCAGTACGTCGAATCCCTTTGGTGCGGTTATCCATATTACTCGTGGAAAGAACCACATGCATACTACTCGTGGAAGGAACCACATCCATATTACTCGTGGAGGGTACCGCATCCATCGTTTTAACTACGCACACACACATCACAGTCCACGCACCGCAAATACGGAAACCAAGTGCGAAGAACAACCGGCGATGGCAGAGCGGCAACTGAGCACGCCTGCGTTCCACCGCGCTGCTAGCAAGATGTAGGGCTGAATGAGATGGCAGCATCAGAAGAGGTCAACGCTTTTCACAAAGATAACACAAAGATTGTGTTCGCCTTACCCTGAAACTTGACTCGAAGCCGAGCGCTGACGAGGCACTCATTTCCATTCTGTGTCCAGCGTTGGCCTTCTCTGATTACGCAAACAAATTCATCCAGCACTACGCCTTTGTTATCTAGGAGGTGTGGCGCAGTGTCTTGTCCTCCCTGGCTCCGCGCCAGCTGTTAGCATGACTGACGTAAACGAATTATCTAATTTTGACAAAAACCCAACGGTGCCTGTCAGTTTGTCAGCGCCGGGGGAAAAGGGAGGGGTTGACGCATGTTGACGTCAGAGCTCCGGACCAATGGGTGCGTTCCACACATCACCCTCTCCCCCTCCTCTGTCCCTCCCCGGTGCTGACAAGCAAAATCACCGCCGGGTTTTCGCCAAAACTAGCGTTTTATAGTGCTAACGCGCTAGAACACTCATTTGAACGTGGCTGGCATGTCTGGTAAGGTACTGCGTTATTGAATTCTTTGGATAGTTAAAAACTCTACCTGAAAAATCTTGCACTTGAGTATAGGACACTTGGCTTCATCGAGAGGGAGGCAGTTGTCGACAAAATAACTCCTGGCAACCGTTTCGATGAACTCCACGCCAACGACGCGATGGCCCTTGCCGTAGAACCTGATCCCAACGGTCGACACATCAAATACAAGGTTCTTGTCTTTTTTACCCGAAGTTTTACATGTCTACAAATAACAATCAAAGGAAACGAGTGTACCGCCCTACAGGAATCGAAAGCACTAGACTTTTTTCGAAAGCCAGGTGCCGATTATTAGAAGGTCAGAACCACTGCACAATGGCGGAACAACTGGCAACATGGAAATAGTCAACATTAGGAGCCGAGAAGCCGATCAAACAACGTCAAAAGTGCACCGTCACTGCGCTCATCACTTTTTTGTAGATGTGTGTTTGCCTTCTAATTAACCAGACGCATCAAGTGTGTCGTGATTTTGCGGTTTTAGCCCGCCATTCTGCAGAGATTTCACATCTGCCAACAGAGGCCAGTCTTTCGATAGAGGTCTAATTAGATCCGCACTTTTGTTTTCGCGTCAAGAATTTAAACGCCATGCTGATGTCTTGTGTATTGTTATCGCCGATTCAGTTGTTACGAATGAAGACATGGACATGCAAGACAAACACTGCTCCTGAAAAAAAAAGAATGTTGACACATTGCACCATTTTTTCGACGTCATAAAAATGAAGAAGCATTCGTCAGCGCGTTCTTCCAACATGAACACTGACATAACAAGAAAACATTGCACAATGCTTAGTGCACCTCGACACGCTGGGCATAAGGCGTCCCGCATCTTTGGCTCCCACAGGGATGGGCCTTGTGACCTAGCAATATCACCTAGAAGACAAGTCTTGAGCATTGCGCAGTGTGTGGATCCCTGACTAGTTTCAAATGTTAAACATGGTCCGCCTTGGCAGCGCTACTTGTATCCGCTACTGATGTCTTTTAGGGGAGGGGGGGGGGGGGGGCGAGTAGCAGGTCGTGTGTTCTGTGGCGTATTGCCTATAGACGTTCGCAAGTACGACCATGTCTGAGGAGAAACTCCGCGTTTTTGCATCGTGCATGAGCAGTGTTACCGTGGACTAAAGGGCCACGGGAGGTTTTCCCTAGTTCCCACGCTGTGTAGTTATATCAACGAGTCAATGGCTTCAAAATGTGACGATGATCTCCCTCACCATTTCAACTCTGGCGCCTTTCCACACATGGGGAGAAAGATCCGGGCATTTTGTTTTCCCGCCAAAATGACGTCCTGGTTCTTCTCTAAGAGTCTGCGTGAAAGGAGAGACGACGATTGCTACGATTCCTGTTCTGGATGACACGCGTAGAAGAATTTAGGCACGCCTGCCAGCAAGCAAGTGTGGTTTCGTGGTAGTTTAAGACTCCTTTTAAACGCACAGTTTTACGACCCTCTTTGGGAGGATTGTAGTGCTACACTGTTTACACAAAGTCATCGCCTTGTTTACTGTGCTCTTACGGATAGACTCCGTCAAGTTGCCACGGCGTGTCCCCGTTGTTCCAACGGTTGGTCCAGTACTCGAATTGGGGCATGTCGGACTTGCCTTCAGTTCCCACCATGATGGCTTTCAAGGATGAACAACTGCAGAATAAAAACACACGCTTGGGTTACAGTTTAGTGAAACAGTGTTCATTTGCAATACTTCATTATTAAAAAAAAAGTATTTACCTGTTTTTTGAAAAAGTAACCCGTACTTTTCCGATTATTTTAGATTTTCAAGACGGCATTTTTGTTTCAGTCAGCTTTAGAAAAGTCCTTTTGCGCGTTTCATTGTTAGATTGTTCTTGAAATTCAAATTTTTTACATCCAAATACATCGATTTTCCTCTTCACTATATTTTTAATGAGTTTTTTGTTATATGTAGTCTATTTTTAATGTGTCATACACACTAGTTCAAGCGAATTCGATGCAAATAGAAAAAAAAGGTCAGGCACCTTTTGAAGGGTCCTTTTAAGTAGACACGTGTAATTTTTGTTTACAATAAGGAGATTCCAATGAGGAGGAGATTCACACTCAGCACAATGCATATTACAATACGGAGCAGGGACACATATGATACCGTTTCTACGAATCTCGAGTCCTACAGCAAAGGACAAATGCACAATGTTTGAAAACCGTCAACTCTCATGAAGAGGGCTCTGAAGCTGACTCCTTCATCGTCCTTGATAATGACGTGCCGGAAGATCGACTCGGGCGACCTGGTCTCTTCCTGGATTCTTTTCGGTGCACTGAAGAGCCGAGGAAAGTTGTGACCCAAGAAACATTCAAAAGCGTCTCAATACTTCATGAGCGAGATGCAGTGTTTTCACGAGCGATATTCTGGCGTCAAAATATTCGTACAAACTAAGCCAAAGAACAGAGGACAATTAAACATTTGACAAGTATATATCTTTATGTGGTGCATTCATTGTACTAAATTTTATGAGTTTCAGTTTCTGAAAAAAAAAAGAAAAAAAGCAGGGGGTCATTCTTGCGGTTCGGTTCGGGTTCGGGTTCAGTAGCTTTTCATTTTTTACAGGTTGGGTTCCCGTTCAGTGATGAATTCAAAATAACGGTTCAGTTACTGGCTCAATCAAGCGCCAACAGGTTGGAAAGGGTTGTTAAAAATATTTATACAGCTCAGTTGTTAAGACGAAAAATTGTGTTCAACGCGGCGTCATATGTATTAAGATAATCAGAAGCCGTGCTGCGGAGACGAGAACAGCAACACAAATATACGCTTAATTTCGCGTTGTAATTTTGAATTTTATCGCGAACGCCATTTAACGCAAACATAAGTGGTCATGCAGGCGCTCAGAAACAGTACCAAAGTGCAGTACTCACATGTAAAGTCAATCAGCCGGCCCGCACGGTGCCACCGTGGCAGTAGAACGCACCGTTCTGGCAAACTGTCAACCCCGGACGCCCGAACGCCTTGCTGTAAAGACTGATAACTCTGCAATTGAGTTCAAGGCAAGAAAGATAGTGAAGAGTGGTATAAAGATAAACAGAAAGGACATAAGAAACGCCGACAAACCCTTTTTAAAAAATGCAAACAATATTTTTTCAAGCGGCGTCTATTAGCGCCGAGATGTTTCGGTGGCGCCCTCTTATGGTTTCCCTCCGTGACGTCACGACTGGGATTTGCCTCGCCGTGACGTCACCAGTTGTTATTCTGGCTACAATTACCATCGGGTGCGACGACGAGTTCGATGGTGTGTTTAAAAAAGCACAGTAGAAGCTAGGAGCCATCACAATCCGAAACTAACACTGTCAAAGTTACAATCTGACAGTGCTCATATGCCCGTGGTTTGGCCAATCGTGGAAAGCTGACCACAGCGACGCTTTTGGCCGCGCACATCGCTAATACCCTGTTTATCCTAAGACCAATGCCACAATTTAAAAAGCAAAAGCGTTAAAAAAAGAACGGACGTATGAAAAATAACTCTTTGACCTGTCCGTTGTTTTTCAGCGCTTTTACCCTCTAAACCATGAATCACCGACTAGCCCAAGTGCATACCCTTCTACAAGGCCACAAGCACCAGAGCTGGAGGTCGCTGCTTTGAAGTGATCTCCCTCAGAACGAGCACTCGCGCTAGAAATGCACGTTTCAAAGCCAGTAGTGCTGGCGATCTCGCACTTGTAGGCGGACGATGGGTATGTATTATGCGCATTGTGCGGAGCAAGGAGGTACGGAGCCACTGTTATCTATAGGTAGGGTGCCTTCAATTCCTACCAACGTTACTAAAACACTCAGTTGAGAAACTCCCATAGAGACAGCTTTGAAAAAATAGCCCCAATCTGTCTCCGAGCACCGAGCTAATGACGACCACAACGCCACCATTTCTCCCGCAGCGGCCACTCAAAGAACTGCACGTGACTTGTATTTTGGCTTTAAGTACAGATACAGCGGCAGAGGTTACAGGGGTGCCACCCCCGTCTCCCCGGCGGACGTGCCGCGTTCAACTACTGAAGTTAAAATGCACCTAGGGCGCGACGCGCTACCTGAAAGGCCCGCTGAGGCATGGTTGTATGAAAACAATACTAATTGTTCCGCAAAACCCTGCGAACTAAAGATGATAAAAACATCACGCGCCCATCATTTGGTACTAAACTCCAATAAATTTCATACAAAAAGAGTCTTTTCCGTTTGTTTTTACGCAAAAACAGGCTTTCAAAAAGCTCGAGGTGACCATAGTACAGACAAACGAAAAAGAGTGGCGCTGTTGTCGCGTTTAGCTCGGTCTCGGTGGACGCCAGCGGCCCAGGTTTCGACGGCGAGTTTCCCAACTGAGTGTTTTAGTAACGTTGATTCCTACTGTTGAGGGTGATGCCATCCTTTGTAGTACCCGATGCAGACAGCACACACTCACTGCTAAAATACAAAGAAATCAACGAAAATAAAGGAACACGCTTTTTCGCGCTTCTGAACAAAAAATAAAAATAAAAGCGTGGGACAAAATGGCCAGATGTATCCACCCTAAGCAAAGCGCCAACGAGGTACAGGGGCTTAAAGCGATAAACCGGAGTTTCGGTCTGGACTCGAAAGTGACCCCCATAAGGCCGCTGCCATTGTACGCAAATTTGACCACTCGTCATGTGACCAAACTCAATACGTGACGTCACAGGAAAGATGGCAGCGGCCAGGCCGCGACTGGCCCCAGCTGGGCCGGAGCTTGTCGGATGCTTTGTTCGTTGTCGTTCGTGTGGGCTAGTTGATTTCAGACGCGGAAGCCGTCATATGAGGCCGGTCGAAAGCGGCTTCAGAGTTTAGCGTGGTGTCTGACGTAGGTATAACCTGAAACTAAGGAGAAACGGTGTGCATTCCGCTGGTGACCGACGGCGATATTGCCAAGAGACAATCGGCCCTACGTTCCTCGGACCTCGGATTGATTCGAATACCGCTAGGATAAATTTTAAGGCGACGTTTTTGTGCTCTCGTTGACCATCGGGATCTTCGAGCTCTGCAGTGAAGCGTGCGCAACATATTTGGATGCAGAGTTTAGTGACGGAAATTGCGTGAGTCGTGCTTGGCAGTGTGCAATCGTGGTGCCGCTTCGTTGAAATGACCGAAGGCTCACTTTGGTTGTGCGACGCACCGGAGAGCTGCCTTCCAGCTGGTAGTTCCTGTGCCGTGTTTTAGGTGATACTGTGCTGCTTTCTAAGCTGTTCTGGCGTAGACGTGCACTTTCACGGAGCACAGGCGTTGCCGCTGGTATTGATTCCGATTGTCTGTTGCACGTTTCGTCGAAATACGTTTCATCAACACTCGGTACGCGAATTGCAAGCTGTATGGACATTTCATCGCGCGTGTTACCTACCCAGTCCACCCGTTCATGCCGCTTTGCGACGGCAGTCTGCAGCGGCTCATTACCACAAAAGTGGTTCCACATCCATTTCAGTTCAGTTCGTCCACGTCAGTCGCCAAACCCCGAAGGAGAGGATTTATTCGAACAGAATGCCACTGCCACTAAAGCAATGCAGCTTCTCTAGTGGTCAGGATAGACTTTCTTCTGTCAGTTTTGTAATATTGTTAAGGATGCTTGCTCCAGTCCTATCTTCTATCAATATCTACTATTCTGGAAACTTCCAGGCCACGCTCAGCTGTCATCGTATGTTCTGGTGGAGGTGCTGGGTACTTTACCCATAGCCCTTCACTCTGTGTGCACCCTGGTGGCTCCTCAGCCGAGTTGCCCGATAACGGGACACGGGTGGAGGACTATCCCACTTCTTAAGCCCCCGGCGAGCCATGAACCAATTCCTATCCCGAGCCTAGCAGAAAAACCGCAAGACGAGCGAGTACCACAAAGCAGGCACGTAGCGAGGATTTTGTTTCGGGGGCGGCCGCCCATGACAAAATGCTGTATGAGGGGGAAGGGGGAGAGGAGGTCCCAGCAAAATGAAAGATTTCGGGGGGTGGGGGGGGGGAGGGGGGGGGGCCGGGTCCCACGCCCCCCCCCCCCCCTGGCTATGTGCCTGCCACAAGGACGAACTTCGGAAATACACCACGAAGAACCTGAAATCTGAGCCAGGTGCTGCTACCAGCAAGAACCACCGGAATTCAGACTTTTGCCAGAAAAACTGAAGCTGACTAAGCCAACAACGACCAACCTGTAGCAGCAAATCGCGTCCACTCCCACCATTGTTTGCATGCCTGTCGCACCTCACACTCCGGCGCCTTTTCACGCAAGGCGTATGAAGACATCGAGGGCTGGATTGAACAATATGACCGTGTCGCCCGCCAGAGGGGGTGGACAGACAACCAGCTCCTGCAGAACCTATACTTCTCGAGGAAGAAACTGCCAGGCATTGGTTTGAGAACCACGAATTCTCCTTACGTCGAGGGAAGTTTGCAAGGTCAAGCTGAAGCGCACAATCATCAGCCAACATTGACGAGAGAGAGCCGAATTCCTGATTCTGTCCAGGACACGGCCCAAACAAGAGCATCGCCGCCCTCGTGGAGGATGTTTTGCGCCTGGTCGAGCACCCACGCCAACCCTGGTGCTACAGGAGACGAGAAGCTAAGAATCCCATGCCCCTTGTGTGAGGGACAGCCCCTTCGGCAGCCCCTTCCGGAACACCACGACAACAGTCGTAGGGTTCATATCACCGAGGCTTCCAACATTGAATGTACACTGCAGGCCCGAGCCTGTCGCTATACAATCCCCCAGTGTTTCAACACTCTAGTTGTCCAGCTGCAACTTCGACACCAGCCTCCCAGGCATCCGCAACACCATCCACGACGTTGTCCGGGAGGAGATTAGGAAGCTATTTTCTGCCATCAGTTGCCCGGCCTTTTGATTATCAAGATTTTTTCCGAACAAGTTCGACAGGCATCTCAACCGGATACTTCTTCGAGCAAAGCGGCATCTGATGAACCGAGGGCGACTTACGCCACAAAGTCAAGACGACTGCCACCGGCTACCCATTTGTATTCAATGCCAATTCAACGAGACACGCCAACGTCGAAGCATTCCCGACATCGGGAAGAACCAGTGTAGGTCCGCGCTGAACAAAGTACACCGAGGAAAACGGAGGTGCTGCGAATGGTCGACCGAAAACCACTCTCCTACCACTGCATGAGGCCGGCCATGTCTACTGGAGGTGCTCGTACCAATCAATCGGCCTGCAAGGGTTCTTGTCAAATGACCCTCGACCATGTCTCGAGGACCGTCCGCCAGATATCGAGGATTATTTTCAGTGGCCTTTGCACCTGATGCCGACATTACCCCGAAACGCCTGATCCTCATGACCTCGACGGGAGGTAATGGAAATGGCTTGGAGAGCAAACACCGTTGACAGCTATCAAGTCAACGGTACAGCAAAAGGCACCGCCACGTAAGCAATACATGCCCGAGCTTGCTGCATTGACGCAGAAAACTGCCAGAAAAAGCCGTTTACAACTCCCTGTAACACCGAATTAGAGCGCAGCTCTTGAGGAGGAGGAGGGAAGGGTACTGGGGGGGGGGTGAAGTGACCTTGGGGGTCACGTGACGATGCCGATGATGTCATCAGTGACGTCACTGACGACATCATCAGTGACGATGACAATGCGGACTCCGAAGACGTCATCAGCGATGATGACGTCATCAATGATGACGTCATCCGTGATGATGACGATGACGATGCGGATGCCAGTGACGTCATCAGTGACGTCACTGATGACGTCATCAGTAATGATGACGATGACGATGCGGATGCCGGTGACGTCATCAGTGACGATGACGTCATCGGGGAGGTCACGTGACCTCGGCGGGTGGTGTCACGTGACTTCGGGGGGGGGGGGGTCACGTGACCTTGGGGTGACCTTGTGGGTCGCGTGACCTTGGGGTGACCTTGATTACGCCGACGCCGACGCCGCTCAAGCCGGGAACGGGCCCCTAAGAGCTGCGCTCTAAAATGTGCGGATTAGAAGCCAGCATTGCAGCTTCAGTGCATCAGATGTCAGTGGCTGCA